ATTCCCTCGAACTTCTTGAGCTGGATGCCAAGAAAGTTTTGTATCTGCCGTTCTTGCTCTTCGTTTAACGGTTGCGGTTCCCGTGATACTGTATCCGTGTCTTCTGTCTTGGTTTCAACGTTGTGGCTTGGTTCCACTGCCTGTTGCGCGTCTGATTGTTGAGGTGGTTCCGTCTCTTCCTCTTGTGCTTGTTTTGCCATGGGTGGCTCCGGTGTGTCCGTGCGTCCTTGTGGTTCGACTGGTTCCGATCCGCTCGTGGGTGCTTGTTGTGCATGTTCCCGGTGTGTAACAGGTTCTGGTGATCGCATGGGATCAGGGCCAGCGTTTCTCTGGTTTGGAATAGGTCCGTTGTAGTTCCCCTTGAGGGATGTTGTTACCCGTCTTTCCTTGTTGCAGCCCATGCTTCGCAGCTCAACTGGATTGGGTGTTGGTGATAGCCGCAGCTCTGCTGTTCCGCAGCGCAGCGTCGTTCCTATACTACCAAGGAAGTCTAATCCTAATATCAAGGGTTCTAGCATGGATGGCATGACAAGTAGTGGCACCTCGAGGAGGTCCTGCACTAGTGTGATCCTGGCTATAAATAGTTTTGACACCTCTATCCTCGAGTTATCGGCAAGACTTATCTGGGTTCGAATTTCTTTGAATTGATGCGGTTCGCCGACCGCATCGGCAAACTCCTGACTTACGAAACTGCGGGACGCTCCGGTATCTATCGTGGCTAGCCTAGTCTGTCCTCCAACTTTCACTGTAGCAACTATCTTCCCGTCTTGTAATCTGAGGGGTGCGGTTACTGGGGGTTCCTTGACTCGATGGTCCCCGTCGTATTCCGCGCGACGCGAGGACTCGGTCCGTTTCCCGGCTGCGTATTACGGCAACAGTCGATGGTGCGAATTCCTTGTCTACCACAATCCCAGCAGGAATATCGTCTGCTGTTCCTTACGTCCGTCCTTTGCGATGGTGTGATGATCCTGTTCGTTATGGGCGCGACCGGTTGTCGGGGCCCTAGTTCTGCGTTTGAGTTTCCCGGCCTATTTGGAGGGGCCTGAGTGTTCCAAGAGTGTTCCCGGGGCGTCTGATGTGGAGCGCGCGAAGCTGCGACTGGAGTTCTGCGGGAATTCTCCCGGCTTAGGCTACGTTGTTTAACAGTTTCATACTCTGTGGCGAGCTGCGTCAGTTCTCCAATAGTTTTAAATTCGTGTCGGCGTATGTACATTTGGTACTCCGGAGCAGCGTTCTCGTAGAGACGGTTTAGTTCTTGTTGTTCGGTGTAGCCCGCGTGTCTCATGAGAACACGGAGATCCAGCACAAAGTCCTTAAAACTCTCTCCGTCTTGCTGGTCTCGCCCCCTTATCTTATCATCTAAACGTTGGAGGTACCGTGGAGGTAAGAAGAATTCCAAAAATTCCTTGCGGAAGGTTATCCAGTCCGCGCCTTGAAGCCGGCTGGTCTGAAACCATTTATCCGCCCGGTCGGTCAAAAGCTCGGCCATAGCCCGAGGAAGCGTCAGTAATTCGATGCCGTAGGAAACCGCGCGACTCTCCACCTGCTCGATAAAGGTGAGAGGGTCGGATCGGCCATCAAATTGTAATCCCCACTTGCGAATTCTTTCCGGGGTGCATGTAGAACTACGCGGAACTTCGATTCCCGGGACTCCTTGAGTCTGTGGAGCGTGTATGGTAATGCCGGGACTACCAAGCGGAGGATTGCCGGGGAGTAGATTACCCGGAAGAAGTAGTGAGTGTATATTCTTATTTATAATCGCGCTTGAAACGGAGGCCTTATCGTCGGCGGCGTTGTCTTTCTCTTCGCCCGGGTTCGGGCTTGGAACACGCGAAGAAAAATGCATTTCGAGGGCCTTTAGCCTAGCCCAGATTGCGTCCGTCAGCTCCGAGTGCTTGACGAAAGCCGCGAAATTTTTCTGGAGGTCCTCGACGCGACCCCCCGACGCGAACCCAAACTCTACTGCGAAGGCTAATAATTCCTCCTTACGACGGGAATATATCCAAGTCGTCCCCACACCAGGATTTTTAAGTCTAATTGGAACAGACTCACCGGGATTGATTGCTGCATCTTTGTCCTGCGCTGCGTTATTTAATTCCTCCATGGTTGGCATCTCTTCTTTAATGCGTTTGTGCTTGGGTATTTTCTGACCCAGCGTTTTGTTTTATTTTGTATTGTGAGTTGTTGATTTAATTTGATTTTATTTGTTTGCAACGTGGTGTTTCGTGTTATGTCATTTATTCATCCATTAAAATTTAATATATATATTTTTTTTTTCCAGTGTATTATATTTGTATTTAAAATTTTTTTTTTTTTTTTTAGTGTATTTTATTCATATATAATCATTTATTTATTTTTCACAGTGTATTTTGTTTGTATATGTATATTTTTGTTCCACTGTATGTCACTTTCGCGTTCACTTGTTAGGTTATAAATTTTCCTCTTCCATTGGTTATTTTTTGCTTGGAAAAATATGGAATTTTTCTTCACTGGTTCACTTCGTTTACTGGTTCACTCGCTCGATTTACTTTTCGGACCGCGCCGTTAGCTCGTGGGCTTTCTGCGGTACACTCGGTCGCGTTACTTTTCGTCACGTTTCGCGTTTCTAATGATTTTGGCTAATTTTTCGGTGCTCCGAAACCGGATTTATTTTCTCCAAATTTTAACCTGCTCTACAAGATGGAATTTTCCTAGGATTTTACCCTACAAGTCCCTGTTCGGGCGCCATTTGTAACGAATCTTCTCGGGCTGGGATAGACCTCAGTCGTGCCAGAGATCCTTACAAGCAATTTGTAATTCACAGGGGGAACTTGTTTAAGATAGGAACTGTAGAGCGCGGATTTCGGATTAACGGTACTCCGGCTTTGGGCACACTGCGCACCCTGTGGCAGGCTTTGCGCCGTTAGCGAGAGGAGAGCGGAGCGGGAGGAGGTGCTCCCACGTGCCTGTGAGACACCGAGATTAGGTTTGGACACTAGATACGGGAATAGGGTGTGACTCCGACAGGGGCACGCCGACGTTCTCTGAGCTGACCAGGAATTGTCGTAGCCACGCCTGAGGGATCGGTAACTACTGGCAGGGATCGGGATATAAATCCAACAGGGGCACGCCGACGTTCTCTGGATCGACCAGGAATTGTCGTAGCCACGCCTGAGGGATCACTAACTACTGGTAGGGGGGTTGGGATAGGAATCCAACAGGGGCACGCCGACGTTCTCTGGGTTGACCAGGAATTGTCGTAGCCACGCCTGAGGGATCTCTAACTACTGGTAGGGATCGGAGAGGTTAGAGTTAGGGTTAGTTGTTATGAAGTCTACGAAATCAAGTACGCACTGGAATTAAATGTTCACAATATCTCACTTCACTTTATTTGATGCTCACCCTAACCTGTTTCCCTGCTGCTGCGCCGAGGTTTATTTGTTAGTTAAGCCGCGGTGGCTGTATGGCGCGTGGTTATGTGTTAAGCCGCGGTGGCTGTAGTGCGCGTCGCGAAACACGTGATCGGGGTTACCTGTTTGTGTGTGTGTGGTTAGGTTTCCCTTCTGCGGCGGACCGGGGGCAGAGACCGAGTTTGGAGCGCACGTCTGCTCGCTTCGGCTGTCCGGAAAGGAAGAGATCGAATTACCATACCGATCCTCTGACCAGGCTGTCAACGTGGCGATTTTTGACAGCCACGCGATCTGGCAGGGTTTGCGGTCTGGCAACATGTCAACCGATATCGATAGCGAAAATGGCAATGTTGGCCAGGACGCGAAATAAATGGCAATGTTGTTCAGGGTGCGAAATAAATGGCAATGTCGTTGATAACGCGCAATAAATGGCAACTTGGTTTAGCTTAATTTTGAATCTTATTTATGTAACGGTTTCTTAGAACTATAGTAACATAGGATTTCATTGTGTTTCTCTTACATGACTAATTAATTAAAACTAGGAAGAGATAACAAAGATAAAGCATAAAAAAAAATGTGCGACTCTTTGGGATGAGGCGTCACAAAGTGGTGAATTATTGCAAGAATGGCATCAACTCTAAGACCGGGAAGATCCTTGTTGTATACCCCCAGTTTCACAAATCTTTAATGAAATTGTTTATGGATAAAGTTGACTAATGTTGATCTTAATAAAAAATTTGCTATAAACAGTACACAACACAAAAGCGAAGACAGCAAACGAATTCTTGTGTAAACATCAGTTTTTAGAAATTTTAATTCACTAAACACTTCCTAACAAAATCACTTCAATTCTTAATTAATAATACTTACAGGTTGGTTGAATTCTGTATGCAATGAGCGGCAGTTAACACAAAGCCTTTAAAATGTACATGTTATTAGTCCATCTTTACTGTTCTAAAATATACATACGTACGTGGATGAATCAAAGTACCGCCACAAATAAACTGCGTGCTGTTGTGTATGGCTGCCATCCAGGCGTTATGATAGGGAGAAGCATCAGTCTCATCAACTATTTTTGATTTAATTGATTTCTTAATCCAGCCGCAATTCGGCTCTAAAAACAAAGAATCTCCAAGACATCGAAAAAGCAAAGTTAGAAATGAAATGCGAAAAAATGTTGACCGCATTGCTCGCGAGTTGAAGACGAAATAATATTTAAAGTTAATATGTACCACACTTTGATAGGCGCCTCATGACTCATAAATAAACCCAGAGATGAAAAGATAATGCTACGTTTCAAAGAAACCCGATTAGACGTATACATAATTACCGAATATATATTTTTTACAGCTTAAATTGGTACGAAGCAAGCTGTTGCTTAAAAAAAATTTGGTACCCTTTTCGTTTACCTATATAAAAATCTGTAGTAAAATTGTAAAAGTAAATATTTTAGTTATGTATTCAAATACATACTTAAATACTATATAATTAAATTTTAATTTCTACGCATTATCTCCTAAATGTTTTTCAATTATGACTTCTACGAATATATTATATATATGTATTGTATGTACGTAAGTGTAGATTAAATGAAATCAAAAAATTAATATATACGTTTTATTTTTTTTTATTTTTAAAACCTTGTCTAATCTAATTTGAACGAACATAAGAATTGAGTTCACGAAACATTAAATATTTCAACGATAATTCATAAAACTTGATCTGAAATGGGTAAGTAAAAAAGATTGTGTTAGTGCCACGTAAATCAAAAAAGCGCGTTGCTTTTACTCACCCGCCGAAAGCTGGTTTCTGGGCATTCGAGTTTCCTGTCTGTGCCAAGTTTCCAAAGGAGAGTCCGGACTCCTGGCCTCCCAGTGTTTCAAATATGTTTCCCTCGGGCGGCTTTGCAGCAGCTCCAAAGGCCGGAGGCGATGCCACAGGTGTTGCTCCGCCGAAGCCACCAAATCCCTTGGGACTGCCAAAAGTCGGTCCTCCGCCGAATGTGGGACTCGCTCCAAAGGCCGGCGATCCACCGAAGACAGGCTTGGCTCCAAAACCACCCGGTGCGGGTTGCTGCGGCGTTTGCGGGGATCCAAAGCCCGTCTGGGCAACTGATCCTCCGCCGCCCTGGGCGAATCCACCACCAAAGCCTCCTTGGGCTGGAGTTGCCTGCGAGAAGGATCCAAATCCACCAGAGCTGCTGCTGCCGCCGCCAAAAATCGATCCTCCAGAAACGGGCGAAGCTGCGCCGGTTGCAGGTGAACCGAAAATCGAACTTCCACCGCCACCAAAAGCCGAAGTCTGCGGGGTTCCACCCGGATTGGAAAATATGTTGCCCCCCGCAACTGGAGATGCTGCCGCTGTCTGACCGAACACATTTTGGCCAAAAACTGAAGTACTACTAGCAGCGGATCCGCTGGCCGGACTCTGCGGATTACTTCCGCCAAAGATGGATGACGATCCAAATGTTGAGCTGCTTCCACCGCCAAATATAGATCCGCCGCCGCTGGATCCAGTTGCTGCTGCCACCGCAGGTTGTCCGAAAAAACTCGACTTTACGCCCTGACCAAATATATTTCCGCCGGAGGCTGCTGTTCCACTGGGAGGACTGTTAAACGGCGACGGATTACTGATGGCCGCCGATGCAAAGAGTCCCGTGGGTGGAGCAGTTGATGTTGGAGCCGCGGCAGGTTGAGTGGCAAACACACTGGTCTCTGGCTTGGGCACATTGCCAAAAATGTTTCCGCTCGGTGCTGAAGTCTTTGCAGCCACTTCGAAGGGACTGGACACAGCAGACGTTGTCGATGGTGCTGCTGCAAAGCCACCTCCAAACACCGAAGATGACGCATTGCTGGCTGTTGATGCGGTGGAGCTACTGGCCACCAAGGGAGCAGCCGCACTTGTAGTTGCAGCTGGAGTCGCGCCCGATGCACCGAGGCTGCTGAAGGCTTTCGAGAAGGAGAAGACGCTGCCAGGAGCGCTGCTACTCGAAGGCACCGCTGTGCTAGTTGTGATTGGTGCTGCTGCTGCTGCTGCTGTTGTCGCTGCCGAAGGAACTGTTGCTGTGCTCGCTGCCGCAGAAGTTGTCACTGTTGGAGCTGCTGCCCCTGCGGTTGTTGCGATAGGTTCAGTTTTACTTGTGGCCTCCGAAACAGAGGTTGCAGAAGTTATTGAGGCTGCAACTTGAGTAACGCTGCCGAATAATCCCTTCGAGGAATCTGTAGTTCCGCTGCCAAACGAAAAGGTACTTGCTTCTGAAACGCTGCTCAGACCTCCAAAAATATTAGCTGACTTCGTGGAATCTGTGAAAATATAAGTGATTTATATTTTGTGCATGTGTTGCGAATAATGATAAGATGCTGCTCAGACCTCCAAAAATATTAGCTGACTTCGTGGAATCTGTCAAAATATAAGTGATTTATGTTTTGTGCATGTGTTGCGAATAATGATAAGATGCTGATATATATATATATATATATATATATGTGACTTAAATATATGCTGATTTATATATAAAAAAAACCTTTGACAACAATTATATTACCATCCGCCAAGCTAACATTATTAGTTTGATATATCGAAGCATTTCCGCGAAAGTATCGTATGTCGCTTTTTTTCGAAATTGAGATTTTAATGCCAATTGTTAGGCACCTAATGTCTTACTACCCTGTGAAATATTATAACTGAAAACCCTATAGTTCCGATAAAAATTAAGTTTCAATTTTATCGTATGTTACAGTGCCCCTAAGAGATTAACTCAAAAAAAAGCTTCTCTTGTAAAAATGGATTTTTCAACATACGATACATTCGCAGAAATGCGTCGATATATATATTTAAAATTAAAATAAAACGTGCAGAAAAAATCTTGAAAATGAATTGTCTAAAAAATAATAAATTACCTGCTGGTGTGTTTGGCTTGCAAATGTTGACAGAGCTGAAAAGACCTCCAATGGGATCTGAGCCGCTGGTCGCTCCGCTTGTCGCAGGAGCTTCGGCCGAACTGGTGGCAACAATAGCAGGAGTCGGTTTCACGGTAAGGGGAGTGCCGCTGGTCACTGTGGGTTCACTGGTTGTTGGCTTTGCCAACGCAGTCGAGAACATTCCAAACGGAGATGCTGAAGCTGACGTGGCTGCTGTAGTGGGTGCTTCAGATTTTGCGACGGCCGGAGAGGTTCCTCCAAAGCCCAATGACGAGCCCATACCACCGAAACTGAAGGGTGAACTGGAGGCATTTCCAACAGTTCCACCAGCACCCGCAAATGCAAAGCCAAAGGATTTGTTCGCAGTCTCTGCCTTTGGTGTTTGCGGTGCTATTTTTGTTGCTTCGGGTGCAGCTTTCACTGGCTTGATGTCCAATCCTACTTTCTGCTCCGGCGCTGGCTTTTCCTTTTCAGATGCCGTCGACAGGTTTGGTTTCGCTGCTGCAGCCGTTTCCGCTGCTGGCGATCCTCCTCCAAATGTCAGCGCAGGCTTTGCACCGCCACCAAAACTGAAGCCAGAACTCGCGCTACCCAAACCGCCGAACATGGAGAGACCCGGCTTGGCAGCCTCACCCGGTGTTAAGGTATTTGTCGTTGGCGTCACAGTAGATGTCTTTACGAAGGGACTGCTCTGACTGAAGGAGAAGGGCGTGGCCACTGGAGTGGCAGACAGAGTGGGCATTGCTGGCTTCTCAACCACGGCCGGCTTTGATGGCATTGGTTTAGGCAGCTGAGGAGCCACAGTTGGAAGAGGTTGAGGCGCAGCTGGAACCGGAGCAGGAGGTTGTGCCACTGCAGCTTGTATGGCCTTGTTGGCTGTTATGGGCTTGGCTGCCGCCTTTTTACTTGCTCCGCTCTGCGCTTTGTTTCCAAAATCACCTCGGACTTGAGACCAACGCGATCGGGTCTCTGGGGACAGATAATATTGATCTTCTGCGATTGAACCACCTTGCGAATCTTCTGCAGTCTTTGCTTCGTAAGCTTGGCTGCATTGGATTCCACCACCTGACTAAGGCTCATCGAAAGAATTGAGTCGGCCAATGTGTCCACTCTGCAGGGAAGAAAATAATGTGGTCAAATCGATCAGACATGGAATTCAAATTCTACTTACGCTTCGTTGGTGCGGGTGCGACTGTTCTCCTGGTCAAGCAGTGCGGCCTGAAGCAAACCGCGCTCCTTGAGCTTGGCTTTGATGTTGTTCTGCAGGATTCGCTGGTCGGAGGCGAGGTTTTGCAGCTTAGTAAGCCGCTGGTAGATGCCCTCCAAGCAAGGCATGTGCATGCGAGACTTGGAATTGCGTCGCACGACATCCTGGAACTGTTCCCACTGCACATCGATGTGCTGCTGGGCGAGACGCAACTGGGCCTCATTGGCCGCAACGTAGCTCTGAAGGCGGGCCAACATACGACGGCCAGCGGGATCGCAAGAGCTTGAGTTCATCAGACGCGTTATACTGCATAAAGATTAGAAGCTTACAATAGTGTTTTAAATAAAAAAAGATAGGCTACCCACTCCGGTTTCCTGTAAATCTCCAACTTGCCACGGCACTCGGCAACAATGGCATAGGCCTCGTTAAGACCCTGCCGCAGTCCCTGGACATCCAACTCGAATTCCACATCCTTAGCTTGTTCGTTTAACTCCTGAAGATCATCCAATCGTTTGGCATAAACCCTCAAAGTTGAAGGAGCAGCAATCTGCAAAATGAATAATAAAATAAGGATAAGCGAATTACATTGCGAAGGATATATTTCTTACGCCTTTAAGCAGTTCTTTGGTCTGCTCCTTCTGCTTTTGAATGTCCTGGCTGAAGGCCTCGATTTGCAGTGCAATCATGTCCTTGATAATTGGCTCCGTGTCATCCGGCTTAAGGGATTCGACCACAGTCGGAGGTAGCGCTGACTGAGTTGGCTTAGCGGGCACTGGTGTAAAGGTCGGAGGAACCGTATAAAGCGGTTTGTTGACGGGAGCTGGAGCCGCCACAGGAGTGGATGACTCGGGAGCCGTCTTTTGCGGAGCCACAGGAGCAGGAGCCGGTTTGTTTAAGGCCAAGCCAAAGGATTGTGGTGCGGAAACGGTGAACATGGAGCCGACAGTCGGAGTCGTTCCTTGCGTCCCAAATCCTCCAAAACCAACGGTTGGCTTTGGTGCAGCGGCAGCTGGAGCGGCAAACGAAAGAGGGGCAGGGTTGGAAGCAGATCCGAAGGTCAACTGTGGAGCTGGAGCTTTGGCTGCAGCTGCTCCGAAGCCAGAGAATAGCGGTTGCGGCTTGTCCTTGGCTGGAGCCGGAGTAGAGGTAACCGTGTTTGGTGAAAAGGCGAACGATAAGTCCGAGGGAGCAGTCACCGCAGGAGTCTTGGGCGGCGGACTGACAGCAACTGTTGACGGTTCTGGCTCGGCACTGGGAAGCAACGTATTTAGCGGCCTGAACTGCCCCGAAGTATCAGCCACCGGTGGAGGAGGCGAGCATACAGACACTGCAGCAGGCTGCAAATTGAGGAAATTAAACGAAAGCAGCTCTCCATTGGAGCCCAAAACATGCACCATGGGCATGGTCTGGAGCTTCTGTTCGTTGATGGTCAGCTGGTGCGTGGTAGACGTATCGTAGACAAAGCCCAGCGGGAAGGTTTCATCCTGTGTGTCCTCGCTAAGTGGCATCTCAATCCTTGCCTCGTCCAGCAGAGTAAACTGCTTCCAGACTGGCGTGTCACCGGTCTCTGAAGTACCCATTACGCCCACCTCAACACCATTGGCCGAGATCACAAGCAGCAGATTCCACTGGGGTACATGGTTGAAGAAAAACTGGTGGTTCCTTGGTCCATTTAGGCTAAAGCAGACGTCATAGTAGTTGATATAGCTGGGAGCACCCGCCTTGGGGGCATTCAAGATGTATAGTGAGGGATTGCAGTCCTCGCCGTGCTGCAGAAAGACGACCGCAAACTGGAACGTTGACAGCCACTGGATGGCGATAGTGTCGAAGGGGGCATCGTGGATATTCGGTGGACACATCAGCGTCTTGGCGGGCGTTAGATCCGGTTTAAACTGCTGCACCTTGCCGCCGGGGAAACCAAGAACAATCTGCTTGCCTTTGGGCGACCAGCAGCCGCACTTCACCTGTTGATTTTTGTCCAGCGAGTGCATTTCGAAGTTTCCCCCCTCCTTTAGGGCGTACATTCCAAGGGCTCCGTTGCTCAGAACCACGGCCAAGCTGTTGGGCAGAACGGGATTCCAGAGGAGCTGCACGGCGTGCACATGATCCTCAGCAGCCAGGCGAAGGCTATAAACTGGGCGAACATCCGGGGTCATGAACGATGGCACCGAAAAGATACTTAGAAGGCTGGTGCCGTTCTGGGTGTAATTTACAGCCAGCAAGTTGCCATCGGAGCTGCAGGCGATGTAGTTCGGCACACTGGGCAGTGGAACAAGTCGAGCCTGCGGTTGTTGTCCTGTAGTTTTTGCATTAGCCAGATCTTTGACGATTATCACTATAAAAGGAACAGATGTTAGTATATAAGAATGTCGAAACCACATTTATGTTACCTTTAAGTTCCGGCTGAGTTGGACTCCCGGCAAAAAGCAATCCCCGGCTGCTCGAGATCGCTAGCAGCTTCACATTGCTGCGGGGCTCGCCGCATTTTTTGAACGCCACAAATTTGTCGTGCAGTTTAAATTGGAAATCCTTTAACAACAACATTAAAAAGTTTACTATTTAAGTTTGACGTTATTCTCTTACCTGTGCCTCGCAGCATGGGGGTGCATTTTGCGCCATTTCGATGGATTTTGTTATTATTTATCCCAATTCGTGCGGTTTGTCAATTTTTGGTTGTCGGCACCGATTTGGCTGCAAATACCAAAGCGGGAAAAGAGCGCCACGTTGTATACGGTCACTTTAACTCACCACTAATGTACTCACCTCAAAATTTAAATTCCAAGTATAATGTATTTCGCTCATTAAATATGCACTTATTCTAGAAACTCTTTTTTTTAAGAAACAATGTAATTATTGAGGCTAAAAAGCTAACATCTTAATAAAAAAAGGCTTCAAAACTGTATGAATTTAGAATTGATGTGGCCAGGCCTTGTGTTGTGACAGTTTTGTACATTTAGTATTTTCTGTAATATTGACAAGAACAAAAATTTCAGCACATCGCTAGCGCAGCAGCTTTGTTGTTGTTCGTCTGTCTCTGTCCAGCAAGCGTTTCTTTTTGTTTGCTGGGAATTAAACAAAAGCGATTTGTTCGCGGGCAATGCAGTCACAAATCTGAGCAAAAAACATCGGCTTTTTCCGAGTGAAAATGCACAAAGCCATGTAGTTAAAATCGAGCTGGCGAGTCGCAATTATCCAGTGGCGACGCAACAAGGTGCTAAAAATTGCGTAGCCAAATAGTTTCGAAGTCCTTCTCCTCCAATCACAGTAACCCAAAAAAAAAAATTTAAGTGCAACATAAAAATAGTGAAGTTTATTTCGAAATTGCCTTCAAAGTCTCCAGAATAACAATTTATCATTAACATTCGAGGATATAACACTTCCTAACGCAAGTCGCAAAAAGAGGGTGAGAAGAAGGTAAGGATAACGATTGGTCCTGTGTAAAAGCCTAAAATGTTTTTATTTTAGAACTAGTTAACGGAGGCCTTCAAGATGATCAGCAGTCTGTTTTCGCGGCTTATAATGTGAGTAATCGGTTACCTGTAACCCACAATTTCATAACCCCTATAAGCGAGCAGAGCGTAAGTGCGAGTGGGAGAGAGAACTGCAGATGCTGACCCCCAAAAAACTTTTCAAGCTCGGCCTTCGAAACCGAGAAAAGCACCTCAGAAACTCATCGTTGATTCCTAATTGTGTGGGCGTCACGCTTTTGATTTTTGTATGTTTATTTCCGTGGTTTCTCGATTCGTTGATTACCAGATTGTTTGTTTATTAATCAGCTGTCGCAAAGTACCGTTCACTTGCGCATGAGTGTGCGTTTGTGCGAGTGTGTGTGCGTAACCCTCAATTGAACTCCTAATTTGGAGTTGCTACTGAGTTTCCGAGGCCGACGCACTCGTCTTGCCCGATTTGGATGCAGAACATGTGGATATATTATCTGTACATACATATAGCCTGTCGGCGACCCGGCGACTCTCTTTGTGACTCCGCGAACAGCGGCTATTGTTGTCAATATTTATAGATCGCGGTCGAATTGGCAAGTTTACGCTTGTTCATACTTCACAGTTCCGATCAAGTTATTAGGTACCCTTAATTTATTTCAATAATTAAATAATTCTGGGGATCGCATAAAAAAGACAGTAGTTTTATACAATTCAATGATACTTTCAGGCTTTATGATTTTTAGCTGCAACGCAATCAAGCCCTTTAATAAAGAATGTGTCATATTATTTTTGAAATTGTAACAATGCAATTAAATGAACTGATTCTATTTGAGTGAGTTATTTATTTGCTGGAAACAATGAGTAATAGGAAGTTAAAAAAAGAGCTTAGACGTTATCTAACGTTTCGTGATAGTGTTCATTACTGGGTTTAAATTTGAAGTGCTATTTTCATGAACGCATTTGCCACTCGGAACTGCGGCACATTCCTCCGTGTAAACATTGCCGCTTCTGCTCCGATATGACTGCTTCTCTCTAGACCCGATCGTGGGTTTATTAATAGACCCCCCGCCTGAGCGTTAGGCGCTCGATCTGCGATCGCAAGATCGCTCTTAGACAGTCTCTGTTTGGCGTTCTGGGGGCCAGGAACGATCTGCGGGCAATGCATACCCGTTGCCATGAGGCCCATCTATCAGCAGGAGCAGCCGCTCTTCTACCAGCGGCCAGCTAATCTCCGACGCCTACGTCATCCGCCGGGCACCGTCTTCGAACGCAGTTACTCGCTCGAGGATCAGCCGGCGGATGTGATCCCCGTCTATCCAAAGTTTATTTACGCCCCACAACAACAACAACATCAGCAGCCATATCATCATCATAAGGAGTTGAGATCTCAATATCCTCTCTATCAGCTGGGCGATTCACTCAGCTCGCTGGACAGTGATTTCGCCGAGAACGAGTACGGTGGAGCCTACATTGTGGAGCAACATGCTCCGCTGACCACCGCTCCCACACCGAAAGTGGTGCAGAATCTCAATGCCCTTGGTCGAATGCTGGAGCTTTTGCAGCGCTGTCCTCTGCCGTGTCTCTCCTTCAACACGGCCTGCATCTGCTCGCTAATCGTCATATTCCTAGCACCGCGTACTTGTGCCCAGAGTTTACTCTTTCCCGCTTTCAGATTGTTCTGCGGAACTCTGTACCCAGCCTATGCCTCCTACAAGGCCGTCAGGACCAAAGATGTCAAGGAATATGTAAGTATTGGTTTTCTAAATTCAATGTTTAAGCCATCAAAAGCTGTTCATAGTGAACATTCCTTTCCTAAATAATATAATACTCATTTAATAGACCTTCATTAAGATCTTTATATTATCAATTTGTAAAAAAATTGCTCTTTATTAAACGAAATAACAATTTGTCAGATAATTTAATAAAATTACTCTTAATTGCGTATTAAAATTTAAACTGATTCATAAAAATTAAGATATACTGCAAACTGATAAGTGACAGTAATTTATCAAAATAAACGGTACATATAAAGTGACTAAAAATAAAACTTCGGTCAGCATTACAGATCAGAGTTCTCTTTTTGAAACCTTTTTAATATTAAACATTGTCTTTCTTTAGGTAAAATGGATGATGTACTGGATAGTCTTTGCATTTTTTACCTGTATTGAAACGTTCACGGACATCTTCATCTCCTGGTTGCCGTTCTACTATGAGGTAAAGGTGGCCCTGGTCTTTTGGCTCCTCTCGCCGGCCACAAAGGGCAGTTCGACGCTATACCGAAAATTCGTGCATCCGATGTTGACGCGCCACGAACAGGTGGGATTTGAAAGCTCAAGTATTTGTATGTGGATCTCTCGGTACATCGCACTTTCTTCTCTTTGAGCAGGAGATCGATGAGTACGTCAATCAGGCCAAAGAGCGGGGCTATTCGGCGGTCCTGCAGCTGGGCTCCAAGGGAGTAAACTATGCCACCAACGTTCTGATGCAGACGGCCATTAAGGTAATCCTCCCCACACAAACCACACACAGCCCCCACTGACACACTCACCCACAATCTCGCACACTCACTCGACTCGCTCAACCACATTCATTTGGCCATTTTCGATCGCCTCCAGCGTCGTTGCATAAAATGAGCAGCAAACAAACATCAGCTTCTGCTGTTCTATATTCGAAACATTTTGCGCAACACTCTCGCGTGCTCATCTTAATCATCGCCAAACTGGTCAGCGAATTCCCAAAAGCAACAACAGCAGAAAGCAGGGAGCTCTTCATCGAGAGAATCATCATCGCCTTCATCAACAGATCGCCTTCTCTTCACATTTACTTTTATTCTTATTTAGTTTAAACGTCTAGAATTGAATGCTCTTTTGTGCCATTTGCGTGTTTTGTTTCGATTTAGTTTGTAGTGTGTTTCTCTTTGTGTAGCTAGATCACCATATACTACTATATGTGATACACGCTATAAGATAAATCAACATGTAGAAACAATGTAATAAAAACAAAAACTGTTCAAACCATGCCAAAGATCCCAGATACCCGTCGCAATTCACAGCTGTTTGTAAACAACTCAGATGTGGGCCAAGTCAATTGTGGGCTGCAACCGATTGGTTAAAATCTGGAGGGCAGACAAAACTCTATGATGATGAACTAATGCACTCGATAAATAGATGCCCCTTGATGTAGGTCAATGAATATAGAAGATATGCGGCGGATAATAAAAGATCGGCAAGGTGCAAATGATTTATAGATGTAGATTAAGAAGAACATTCCGAATGGTTTACTCACAATAAGAGTTCTTACAAAGAATTCCGAGTTAGTCATCAGGTTGCTGAAGTACTTGGGCTTTCTTTGTTTGCAGACAAAGCCATACGTTTATTTGTATTTCAAAGGAAATCCGAGATACTTTATATGCTCTAACTCTTTGTTGCCGTTCTATCTTGTATAAAAATTATTTATTCGATTAAGTTTGTACAAAGAACGTAGGTTAATTGTACAATTTCATGACGAAGATTGATAGCTTAAAAAAAGTTATGATTAAATGGATTGGAGTTTATTCAACACCAAGCTAACAAAATAAGGGAAGGTTTAGAATTCTCGTTGAAAAAGGAGCTACCCTTCTTTGTTCCCAGACAAAGAAACTCGTTTGTCGTTGGAAAAAAATGAACATTTCAAGTATATATTTGTATCCTCTAGAAAAGTCTTTTGTGTGTGGAATGTTCCCAAGACATCTGCCGACACTCCTTGGTTCCACATTTGCATTCCGCTGATTTCAGTTGCCCAGTTGCACAATTCTAATTCCAATTCTGAATCGCCGCTAGGGTAGGGCATGTAAATATAAATAGATACCGGGCATGAGACAATTCTAGAGCGTGTGTGTCTGTGCTTCGTTTGACCCAGCTGCAATTCATTTCAATTTGAGACTTTTGCGTTGCCTCTATTTTAATTAACTTTTTCGTTTCTTCACTTATGTTTCTTTGCATTTAACCCACCAAACAAACCAAAAACCAAAAACCCAACTAAACGCACCTGCCTGCACCGCTCGATTGCCACTAACCCGCTAACTGCTAGACCTACGAGCTGACCACGGCTCCATCCACCCAAGGACGTGGTCTGCAGTCCTCCCATTCGGCCAACGAGCTCTCCCGGAATCGGGATATGCTGGACAGCACGGAGAACTGGTTGCCAAGGGCCAGTTCCCTGGACAGCATCAACAGCTACACGGAGGCAGTTTATGAGACGAGGGGCACGCAACTGATCATCAGCGAGGTTTCCGAGGAGCCGGAGCACGATCTAGATGAGCCCATGGGCGATGCAGGAGCAGCTCGACTGCGGGACATGCCAGTTCGAAAGGCTCAGCCACGTCGCGCCGGAGCCACTGGCCGAACGGCTGGCAGACGTGGCCAGAGAACCAACGATACGGAGGCCACCGGCAGCAGCTCCACCAGCAATGTGATCCGATCGCGACGCAAGCTGCGCGATCCCACGCCCGACGTCGATGTGGAGGGCTATTAAAGATGAAGATGGCTAGCATCCAACAGATCCAGATACTCAGCGAACGATCGAATTTGAAACACTCAGCGACACACTCACACATCATCACCTTAACCCTTTCGCCCACTTGCAGTTTTAATTTTGTATCACATCTGTATTATTGCTATGTTGTAGACCTAAGTTTTCGATTAGTTGTAGTTAATATTAAATTATTCAAATGGCAACTCTTGTGCTCTACTCCACCAAACGTGACCACAAACGTGAACCATCCACTTGCATCCATTGCTCCCCTGAAGGGCGGCGGCAATCTGGTGCAGACAATCAAGCGGAGCTACAGCCTCAGTGATCTGAGCGAACCGGACATGCATCGCACGCAGGACGAACTCGACGACGTGATGATGTCCTCGATGGCTTCGTCGGCGGTGGTCATGCGTTCGCCGTCCACGGGTGCACGACTCCTGAGGCCACGAAACCAGACGCCAGTTGGCAGATCCGGCAGCGGCACTCGCCACTCCACGGGCATGTACTTCACGGAGGTGGATGTGACCGCCAAAAATGCGGGAGATTTCAAGTGAGTTTTTGTTTGTAAATCTAACACTTTAATTTATAATTTAATTTGTCTAAATTCAGGGAATCAATTTAGTTCCTAATAGATTTCAAAGCAGAGTTTATTATTTTACGGCTTAGAATTATTTTATTTAATTGTTGAAATAACTAAAATCAGATAACTAAAACTTAAAGGCCAACTTAGTAAGCTTAACGTAAATCCAACAATTCTCAGGAAAATTAAATATGATTTGTATTAAGCTTTGAAGTAAATATAAAACACTTGTATGGCTTTCACTTTAATTTTGTCCTACCCCACAGCTACAACATTCGCAGCCAGGATGACATCAGCTCCGGCTACTCGAGTGCCGAACCCGTGAGCGGTCTCAGTCGCACCTCCTCCATGACGAATGCTTCCAAGGGACGAGTCAAGTCCAAACGCAATGAGGTGAGAAATGTGTGTATCTTCCATCGGGAACTATCTTAATCCATTTAGAGATTGGTGTTGGTTAGCAGTTGCTGGAAGAGATGAGGGACGAAGTCTACTTAGACAACCAGCTGTATTTTCAAAACGGGAAAGGGGAAAACTCGGTTTCTGCGGCCCAAGAACTAAAGATTATGGAGAGTTTTGAAAGAATCCCAAATCAGGAGGTGGAAAAGGTGGTGAAGGAGGAGGAGAAGAAAGATGAGGAAGACGAGGACTTTTATGAGGCCTTGCCATTGATAGAAGAGGAAATAATTGATGGAGATAATGTAAATGCAAAGCCAGAATCCCAAGTTCTAAACAATGATCCCATCAAAGAGGAGGAGTTTGAAGATGCATTGTTTGAAGAACCAAAAAAGGAATTTATAGATGAAGTAGATGATGCCAAGCAAATCAATGTTTTACCAGAAGAGGTAAATAAGAACCAACCACTTGATCAGAATACCAATGGAATTGCTAAAAGTCCAGCATCAAGCACAGCTTCCCAAAGCAAACCATACGTTCTACCTCCCATCGATCCCTTTGTGTTGGTTCTAAGCACTTCTGCATCTGCACCAGATCCCTTTCAACCCGAAAGACCACGTCCCATGTCGCCGCGTGAAATGCGGGACACCTTGGAGGAGATCAAGCACAGTTTCCGTGCCCAACTGGAACCGGAGCCCCCCCGTTTCGGCCTCTCCATCGCCCTCATTGCGACCCAAGGCGAATCATGGCAAGGGCCGTGCTCCTCCGCCGCCGTTGCCACCGAAGAGACACTCGTTGAGTCCCCAACCGGATGCCATCAGCCAGACATCAACGGGCAGTGCGGAGCGCAAGTCAGGTATCGGCCAACTGTTCAAGCATATCAAAGCTAATGTGCTGCGTAACAAAGCTAATCCCAGCCAGCAGCCGGAGGATGAGCAGCTGGCGGCCAGAGAGACGCAGATTTGAAGTAAGCCCAGCCGCAAGCCCGTTCACGAAGCTCTCTCATCATCCCAGTGTTATGTTTCGCTCACCGCCGGGCGACATCAGCTTCGCCTCTAACTTCCATGCCCCCAAAAAATACGGCATTTACCCTTTGTACAGTTGCGTTACTAACCTCAATTTTTAAGGATTTGCAGCATGCTGTTTGGAATGTCTTTTATCAAATAAATATTCTAATCTTTAACTCACTTGTTTTCCACTTTTTTTGCAGGACAAATCCATGTCTGCTAGTTGCACCACCTTGCCCCGATCAAGCAGCCGGAAATCGGAAAGATCCCAGGTGGGAGGAGCTACCACTGGCCAGATGAAAACGCGCAACAAGTCGGAGAAGTAATGAAGCATCGATCTTTGGCCATTCACCTTCATCGGAGCGTTGATTAAGGTGGACAAAAAGTATAAACCATAGAACCAGAACCTCATGTTTTAGTTTAAATTGTAACTTAATACGGATATCGATACAGATTACGATAATATTAGCTATATATGCATATGCATTGTGTACTTTGTTTGTGATTCTATTAGTGCTCCAGGTGCAGTACGTCCCTGGTTGCTATTGGTACTCATTTCGTGACTAGTTTAGCGTTAAGCGAGTCTCCTAGCCTCTGCCCAAAGGTTCTCCGACAGCTGTACTAACCAAAAATGAAACCCCAAGAACCCTATCAATTGTGTAGCATAAATTCCTAATATTGTAATTGAACATTAAATAAAAGAACCTATACCATTGAACTGAAATGTTACCGCTTTTCATTGAATTGATTTCATAATATCTTAAGGGAAAAGTTTTGAAGTTCACGTTCCTATATCACCCATGTTCTTTTAAATACCAATGTTTTTTTAATGGATAGCAATCGTTGGTATAGTCACATGAATGATAGATCGACATATACTTGTAATTTCACTTCAGATGCATGATAGTTACTCAGCCGCTTCCTCAGGCGCCTTTTGGGTGTCCCCAGCTCCGCCTTGTGGAGACCCTTCCTTGTCTTGAGGCCCTTCGCCGCACTCATCCTCCTCTAGTTGATCCGATTCGCTATCGCTTGCGTTAAAGTAAAGAACCTTGCGGATGTAACGGGTAACCAACTCCATTGGTCTCTTCTCCCACTTGGCCAAAATCTCATGAGGCGTTTTGATCTACATTATAGTATACGTGGTATTGTTGTATTAAATTGAAATGAGAAAAGTTTAAAGCTTTAATATTTAATATTTATATATTTGATATAAATGTATCAATCTTGTTTCATCATGATTCTTATCATTTTTAATATTTAACCTCACCTGATCTCCATTAAGACGGTTTAGTATGGCCACGCAAACCACTGCTCCCTTGATATTTGCCCGACTGGTGAGGGCGGCGAAGGCCAGGCTCTCCATCTCGATGTTCTTTATATCCTGACTCTGAAGCTGCTCCAGATAGGCCTTCTTCATTTCGGGTGTATATTCGCAAAAGGCACCATCCAATCGAGACTGACCCTCGTAGAAGTCATGGGCACACAAGGTCCGGCCTATGATGGTTTCATATTTGTCCTTGCACGGATCGTGGCACATCTTAATATCTTCAGCCAGACCCTCGTCCAATTGGCTTGAGTGTAGGATACTATTGCCCTGCACAATAATCTCGTGACCGGCATTCAGACGGCCGTCCACCGCCTCGGAGGAGATGACCACGGTTCCGGGATCTACGCCAATGCCACCGCAGGTTCCCAGCCGGATGAAGACGGGGTCCTGGCACTTGGCGTGGTGCATCATCTTGATGAGCTCGTGCAGCAGTATGGAGATCGAAGGACAACCCATCCCGTGGCTGGCACAGAGCACGGGACCCACCTTGAACAGGGAGAATCGCTTGCCCGCCTCAGCAATGTCACGTAATTGGGTGGCCGCATTAATCTTCAGTCCGATTTCCTGCATCACGTAGTACGCGAAATTCTCCATACGCCCCGGTGTTCCTCCCATGCAAACGAACTATTTTTGGGGTAGAATCATTTCAGGAAGTGTTCGTAAATTAAAACTAAATCATTGATACCACTAAAGCCATTTGTCAATTTTTGGAGGTCCAGGTTCATCTTGTATTTTGAAATAATTATTTAAACTTACGCGCACATCTCCAAACACTTTGGGAAAGTCGGTTGTCTCCGTGTCAAGTCCCAGGTGATAAAGAATGTCGGGATTCAGGCACTTCAAGCACGGATTTAGACCGCATAGGGTGGATTCCTTGGGTTCCTCGTCCTTTCGGCAGCCATCCCTTATTTGCCGTACCAACTTTGTGAGGGTCTTGCTCTGGGCATTAACAACAGCTAAGGAATTTAGTCTGTATTGCCAAGAATCACAGTTTCTTTTCACCATAGTCTAAGTCTTTACCCTTTAGTTGGCACACCTCTTTGGCCAATCGACATGTGCAGTCATTACAATTACTCTTCGCCATACCAATTTTTTTTTCTTTAAAAACAGAAATTTTGTATAACTTACTTCCAGAAAATGTGTTATTTTACTAAAAATGTCATATCAAATGTTTACTAAACCTGTCACTAAACACAATGGAAAATAATTTATGAAAATCAGAAGTCTCAGTTTCGAAACATTCGATAAAGAATGTCGGGTTGTAGGCATTTTGGACAGGAATTATGACCGCATATGTACGTCCTTTTTGCAATCAATAACTAAAAAGTGGTAACTACATATTATGAAATAAATAATATATGTATAATAGAAATTAGTTTTGAATTAATAAGTCAAAGAAATGGCAAACATTTTTCAAATTTTCTAGAATTTTGGTGTTTTCTAAATAAAACCCGAACTTGACTGAAACATCTGATAGGTAACCCCAAAACATCTGGAACTCCCCTCGTAGGCCTAAGTAAATGCTGCGATTATTTTATTCGCCCCGCCATAAAATATAGTAAAACGCGAAAAAGAGGCCAAACCGGATTGCGAACCACCGAAACCACTTTTCGATCTTCTCCTGCTACTTTTTCTTCTTCTTCGTTCCCCACATGCAATTTCAGAAACTCGAAGCGCAGCTTTCGCGGATCCTCCGTCGTCACGTCACACATGCGCGCAGCAGCTGATGCGCGATCGCTGACCTTGACCCTCAATTGAGTGGAGAGTCGACTTGTTGCCAAGTGCAACCGGCGGAGTTGCGAAGTTGCCACCCCAACCCCGCTCTCTGCCACATTTCGCACAGCCAGTTTTCACCATTAGTGGCGACTGTACCTCGCAACGTGATATACATATTCACTTAGCAGCGCGAGTGAATGTATATGTGTGTGGTGGTACGTGAATTGCACACTGGGCAGGAGCGCAAAGAAAGCGGCACACAGACTATAATAAACAGGGGAGACAATGGCAGATTTTGCCGGCCGGAGAGAGAGTGCGAGCGGGAGAGAGAGCCCCCATCAGCTGCCCGCACCATGTGTTCGCAGCTGCAATTTGCCGGTAAACTGGTTGCGAAGGGGCAGATAACGAGTGCGAAAATGATCGCTCTCTCCTGGTCAGGGGCAGTTGTAGCTAAAATCAGCAGGGGGTTTCTTCATTAATTTCATGATGTGTTGATAAACTTTTTGTGGACCTCTCAAGTTAGGGGGCATCTGAGAAGTAAGATTAGTTAAATGAAAGTATCTCCCTCTGAAATCCTCTCCTGCTCTCTGTGCCCTAAAAAAAAATCACACATGGTATGGGTTTATTTTTTTTGTCTCAAATCAGCAGCTCCAGCATTTTAATTTACAATTAAAAAACAATCACAGTGATATTTGAATTTTCATTTTCTTCATCGTACGTAGGTTTCGCATCTTTTGTGTCCCGTCCAACTGAACTGAAGGTGTGTGTGTGCTGTTGTCTTCTTCTTCCCACTGAGTTCTGCTTGCTTGTTTTCTTCTTCTTAAACCGCTTAGCTCATCCTCTCCAGCGTTGCGTACCGTTTTCATAGTCGTATGTCTACCATTGTTGATGTTCTCTTCTTGTTCTTTGTCTGCTTCTCTGTTCTTGTTTTGCTGCCCCCTTTGGCTCCACAGCTATGCGCAGTCTAGCTAGTAGCTACCCCGATCGAGAGATCTTGCCGGGCGTCTTGGATAATGATGATAATGATAGGAGTTATGGATGTGTGGGGTGGTGATTAATTGGGTGGGTGGTGGTGGGATTACTGATACTGGGTATAGGCAGTCGCACATCCTCTAGAATTCCCAAGGCTCGCCGGCAGCAGCTGGATAGAGTGGTATAGTATGGTTGTCATCTCTTCTCGCCGCCTGCCTTTTTGCTTTATCATTGGACTTTATTTTTTAATAATTTTTATTTACGCTTTTTCTTTCGGTTTTTTCTGGCTGTGGAACTCCTAATAGGATCATTATATAGTTATTTTTTAAGGTAATTTTTTCACTTTATATAATCTTATATAGTTTCATTCCATTCGTTATAATGTAATTAGTAAATTCAAACACTTTTTGCAGCATAATCATATATGTATAATTATAGTAAAGTGGTTTGCTTGGTGAATTCTCTTGTTGCTGTTGCGGTTTAGTTTAGTCTCATCTTACAAATTGGGTCGTCGTATCTTCTTCCTCTTTCTCATCTTCATCGTCTTCATCTACCTCTTCGTCGGCGTCATCTGCTCTGTCGGCTGCACAGCTGCCGTTGGCTATCGTCGTCTGGTGGTTTTGCTTCTTCGTACCCCTGGCTCGTAGAGCCTTTCTTTCTCCTTGGCCACTGATTCTTCTGGCTTTCCCTCGTGGAAAGCCCAATTCTTGTTCTGCACTTTTCTCAGTTCTTGGGACGTTGGCACCGCGCTGCAGGCTCGGCTTTTCGGAATCAGAGATGGTTTACTGGATGATTTTCTGGAGTAGACTATATAGTATTTGAGTGTGTTTAATGTGTGGGGATGTGAGTGAGGGTTCTGTTTTTGGAGCATATGATCTTGACTTGGGTGCTGCTGCTGTCGCTAGTTGATGTTGTTGCTGTTGGCTGGCTTTGTGAATGTTGTAGCAAATTGATTTTTCGTTTTTCATGTTTTTTTATAATTTTTATTTTTTTTCTCTTCTTATCTTCATCTGGTTGTTCTTCGTGTGTTGAAACATTACTCATTCCTCCTTCGATGATTACATATTTTTAGAGGGTGTCACGGTGTTCTAGTTCCGTCCGCCCTTCTCGTCGCACTCGCGCCTCAGATGTCCGCTCTTGCCGCATCCGTAGCAAGTCTTAGATGTTTCCGGGCAGTTCTTGGAGATGTGTCCGGTACGGTTGCACTTGTAGCACGACACATTGGCCGGGCCACGTTCATTGACGGCCTCGGGGCAGTTGCGCACCCAGTGTCCGGTCTTGTTGCATCGGTAGCAGGTCGGGTTGTCCGCCTGGGTGCAATCCTTCGAGATGTGCCCGATGCCGTTGCAGCGGTAGCAGCGCTCGGCCTCCTCGGGGCAGGCACGTGCAAAGTGCCCGAACTGGTTGCATTTGTAGCACTTCTCGCGGTTGCGACGCATGCCGCCGCCATCGCTGCCGCGCATACCGCCGCCGCCTCCGCCACCGCCGCCTCCGCCACCGCCGCCTCCACCAACACCGCCCGGTCCGCCGCCGCCTCCGAGACAGTCCCGGGCAAAGTGGCCCGGCCGGTTGCACTTGTAGCACGTGGCAGACATCGACATCTTCTTCGCTCCGCTCTTGGTTAGATTCCGGATCCTTTCAACGCTTCCAACTCAACTTCCTCGCACACACTCACTCACTGGTTCCTCGGGGGCCCTCGAGCACTACACACTGCTTGCGCTGGATGCGAAAAAACCACACAGACGAACAGGATCTCCGGCTTCCTCAGATTTCCTCGCCGTATTTTCGACGCCAAAAGTTAAAATGGCTGCCGTTGAGGGAACGAGTACTTAATCGGACGGTGGTATCGACTACCCGTCAGAGTTGATTCGGTTGCGGTTCAAGGCAACGCTGGTCCTCCACGCGGTGCACATTGGTTCGGGGTTAGGCGACACGGAGATGAAATATTATACTAACGGTTGGTCGTCTAGGGTCACGTTACAGTTACATCTCGGCCTGCTTCGTTTCACCGGACTCTTATTTACATTTTTCATTTACACAAAAGGGTTTACGCTCCATTAAATAGGGTGAATTACTTGCAGGACACTACATAACCCAATTTAGTCGTTGGCAATTAGTCACTTTTTGACCCCACGTAACCAGTGTGCCCGTAGAGATGGACTGGCTCTCATAAGCTAAGGAGTTCGGATATCCAGTCTATCGAAAAATTTTATTAAATTATATTGCAAACTTCTTTAACAACTATTAATGTGAATATATTTAAGAAATATTTTTATATCTAGGACCCATAAATTCGCATTTAACAGATAACGATAACCGATTAATACATTGGGGGTGTCTTTGCAAAATGCCGGTTATCTAAGGTTTGGTAAAAAAGCTTGATTTTGGTTAAGTAAAGTGCATATTATACATAATCTCTTAAATAACAAAGGAATCAGCACATAATGTTTTCAAAATAAGGATGAAACCGAGCAATATTAAATTATCGATTTCTCCATTAAGTGTTAATTAATGAGGCTTTACCAAACATTTTATTTTATAAGCTCAAACTTCTTGTTGGATATATGTTATTTTTTAATATAATCAAGTTCTTTTTTACGAATTTTGACCAAATTGACAAGCCAATTAGCACGCAATACAAGAACTATCGATTTCTCGATAAAGGGCATTACTAAAATTAAGAAAATATATAATCCAAAAAGTTAAAAAATAGCATTCTGGTTATAAAACTGGGAGTATTGAAGAAATAGATTAAAATGTTTCGCTTAATTGGTTAAGTTATGTATAGAATTGGAACTACTCGATACCTTAAATAGTTTCCGATGGCCGATAGCATCGACCAGATCGGCACTATCGACCGCAAGTCCATACCTAACACCATAAGAATTAGTTTGTTTTTTTGCAACAAACATTTACATTATTATGCGTGCGTGGCCAAAATGCTTATTGTTTGGTTAGTGCTTGCCGCCACACTGAGCCGTTTCATCCGAGCCAGCACCACGATATCGATACCCATCACCACGCAAGACATAATAGCGGGTGACGTGTTTTTTGAAATCCTATCGCCCACGGACCTGGAATACACGTACCGGTTGCGTCCGGCCAAGGACTTTGGATCCACCTTCTCGGAGCGGTTAGAAGGCGTGCCGTTGGTGCTTACTGATCCGCCAGGAGCCTGCCAAGAAATACGAAATGCCCGGGAGCTTAACGGGGGCGTCGCTCTCATCGATCGAGGGTGAGACCCGATAGAACCGCTAGAATATTATAGAAGCTAATCTGTGGTTATGGAGCTAGGTACCTGAAGATACTTGTTATCAGCAAATTTTTACCTACCTATACCAAGAAATCACTTAATTTATCTCAGCTGTCAAAGAATCATTCCGATTGCAGTGGAGTTCCGCCCATTTAATGCCTATCATCAGGGATATCACAATCTTGTAACGTGCTTGATAGAAATTATTAAAATGTCTTTTAAACAAAGTCCCTTATAAATATCAGCTTTTAGAAACTTATGAAACTTAATTTAACGATTAGTTTTTTTGTTAAGTTTCCATCAGCTGTCAAAAAACGTTTATGATTTCAGCAATAAACCATAATTGGTAATTTATAATTTATATGTCCTTAAATGTCTATTTTTATACCCTTGCAGAGCAGAGGGTATTATAATTTCAGTCAGAAGTTTGCAACGCAGTGAAGGAGACACCTCAGACCCCATAAAGTATATATATTCTTGATCAGCATCACCATCTGAATCGAAATATGTATGTACGTCTGTCCGTCTGTCCGTCTGTCCGTCTGTCTGTCTGTCCGTCTGTCTGTCTGTCCGTCTGTCCTCCTGTCGGTTTCTATGTAAACTAGTCTCTCAGTTTTGAAGCTATCTCGCTGAAACTTTCCCAAAAGTTGTGTAGTTGTTGCACGCAGTATATAAGTCGGAATGGGCCGGATCGGCCGACTATATCGGATAGCTCCAATACAAGAGAATGAAATAAAAAATTCTCACTCTATTGTTTTTCATCAGATCGACTTGAATTCTTCAAGATGGCGTTTTCTAACTGTTATTGAATTTCGGATTAAATTTGATCAAAATCGGGTAACTCTATCATATAGCTGCCATAGGAGGGATCGAAAATTATATATAGAATTAATGGAAATAAATTGATAACATCGTTGTTTTTCATCAGACAAGTATGATTTTTGGAATATAGAGTGTTCTTACGACTCTTGAATTACGAGTTAAATTTAATCAAAATCGGACAACTATATCGTATAGCTCCCATATGATCTATAGTCAAAAATATGGAAAATGAATAGAAAAATCGACTTAGGTTCGATGTTGTCTAGCCTTTATGCGTTTTGTTCGACATATGTGATGACTGCAAGGGTATATAAGCTTCGGCTTGCCGAAGCTAGCTTCCTTTCTTGTTAATTAGGCAATAGGTCCAGCAAATATAAGAAATCAAATACTAATTGGAATTTAATCCTATAAAGAGGATGTGATTTGAGTGGTCTTACATTTTTTCGAGTTCTGTCCATTTAAAATATTTAACTTTATCAATGACAAAACTATATGTTATATAATTATGAAATGCTTACTTTAAATTAGGCTTAAAGTAGAGAGATAAGTTAAAGTTACCCTTTTTGTGACGAATTCTGATAATCTTATTTTCCACAGGGAGTGCTCCTTCGTCACCAAGACGCTGCGAGCAGAGGCAGCGGGTGCTTTGGCTGCCATCATCACCGAGTATAATCCCAGCTCACCGGAGTTCGAGCACTACATCGAGATGATACATGACAACACCCAACGGGACGCTAATATACCGGCCGGCTTTCTGCTTGGAAAGAACGGAGTCATCATTCGATCGACGCTGCAGCGGCTGAAGAGGGTTCACGCCCTTATCAACATACCGGTTAACCTTACCTTTATCCCGCCCGCCAAGATCAACCATCCGCCGTGGCTGGGATGGTGACGGAATAGGCTTGGAGCCTGGACTAAGGACAAGTGTAGGGGATGCTTATACGATCTGAAACCAAAGTGCATACTCGTAGAAAGAGAAATCGAGACCCGAACTGAGACTAATCTTTAGAGTACTAATAAGTAGCTAATTCATAGACGGAAGACATAAACTGTAAATAAATTGCCTAGCATCCAGCCAGTCAGTCAGGTCGCAAAGTTGTAAGCTAGACAAATACTATATTTGTTTATTATTATTGTAGGCAATGCTTAAAGGTACTCGGTTATATTTTGCCCAGGGCGTTGAGATTCATGCACATGCCCAGCGTGAGGATCACGATGACCACCACGAGGATGGCAAAGCATAGGTAGTTCGGCTGGATGGGCATCCGAAAGAGTTTGGCGGACATATCCAGCGAGGCGGCAAACAGCAGCGTCGAGTTGAGATCCTCCGCCGAGGTATTGTGGTAAACGAATGGTCTAACCCGTATCTGATGACCATTCGCCTGGGCGTTCTGGCAGACACGCGTCACCGAGGAGGCAACGAAAAAGGGCAGCAATCCCAGAAACAGCCACAGCATCACATTGGCAATGTTAAGTAGAACCAGTTTCAGTGCGCAGTAATGGAAATCGAAGTCCTTGAAGAGGTAAACCAATCCCGCGAAGGCATATGCCAGATTCATCACAATCAGAAAGCACACTGGTATGGACACGTGCTGATTAAGTCGGTCGAGCAGCTTGCGGAATTCGAGTACTTCCCTCATCCAATCCAGTGAATCGATCGAGTGCATTAGCAACTTATGTGAGAGCGTTTCCAGATGCATCCTCAGCAAATAACACTCGATGTAGTAGTTGCTAAGTATGATAATCTCCACCAGATCTTGGAGGAGTATGGTAACCAGCAGGCCGACGCGCATCCACGTTTCCCAGTCACTTAGGGCTTCTGCCAGCCAGGACACCTTCACGATCTGGCTGGGCTGCATCATCACCACACAGCAGGCGTAGCCAAAAAGTAAAATTAGCAGGGCCAGTGCCACGGTTAGGAAAAACCACAACATCCGGCAGAGTCTTTTCGGTTTGGCGGACATAAGGAACACCCTCTCGATGAGATTTTGCAGCTGCTCATGGTCTATCACTTTGCACACCAGCACTGCCGACACGAATGCCAATAGGTTGAAGCCACTGGGTATTATAAATCCAAAGAGTAGTTCTCCTATGGTGTTGGGAGTGACTGCTCCGCCATCTGTCCCATTGTTACTGGGTTGGATGTCTCGGTAGCTGGTAAAGCCCCGATCACCTCTGAAACGAAAGTAGTTAAGAGTGAAGGCAGAGAGTGTTACTAGAAATTGAGATTTTTTTGTTCTACACCTAGCAATCCCCACAGATCCAATAATAATCTAATAAAATAAAAAATATTTACGTAACAAATATTATACGAAATTTTAATTTTGGTGATATTAATCAGTTTATACTTTCGTGTGCAAAAAAATGAAAAATTATATTGTATTTTTTTATATATCGATTATATTACCGATTTTAAAATGTTTGATTTAAAATAATACCACAAAAATAAAATGCACAATACCTATTTTAATATTTGATTTGCCTTGATAATGTTGATAATGTTTGTTGTCTTGAAAATTTTTACGTAACGAATATTCAGTTTTAATTTATATTAAACAATACAATTTTTTTTTATTTTTATCTAGCAGATTTTGATAGTTGTTTACGAAAAATGTAAACAATGAACAAAATTCATTGACACAATATGATTGCGTTTGAGTATGCTTGTTTACATGATGCGATAAACTGGTTTGAAATGGTTTTTTCTTCGAGTGATTCACTTTCTTTGAAGTAATTTCAATGTGCACCGCTTTCTCTTTATCTAGGAAATACCTTAAAACCAAATTGGTTTAAAGCATCTGTTTTTCCCGGTTTTCTCACTCACCTGTAGCCGCATATGTAGCGCAAAAGGTATCCTACCAGCAGGACGAACAGCACCATTAGCGCCTGGACGTAGCTGCAGCAGGCCCGGATGCTGCTCATGTCGGTGGAGATGGGATTGAGGCCCACCAGCGTCAGGATGGCCACATATGGACGGAGGAACTGTTGGGCGAGATGATCATTAGTAAGTTCCCACGATTCGGGTTGTTAGGTAATCATGAATGAGCGGTCATCCCACCACACCCACACCCACCTTCCGTTTACAGTAGTCCAAAAGAGCGGAAGTGGGCTCGTGCTCTCCCGGCTGCTGCAGTTCATCATTGGCATTCCCGTTAAGGCGATTGATGAAACAGAAAGAGCTCTCCGCATTATGACGATACATAACGGACAAAGAACACCGGGCGAGGGGGTAATGTTTGCAAGAGAGACACAGAAAGGAAAGTAACAGTTATAACAACAGTTTACGATGTCTCTCATTCACAACAAAAAACACATAGCGTGGGTGGAGAGAGTTTCCGGGAGAGAGTAACAGTGGAAATCAACGCCAGAGAGAGACCGATCGCGGCTGGCGGTCCAGCCACAACTGAGGCCCCAAAACCTACGAGCTCGTCATGCAGCCAGGATGAGCCAATGGAAGTCGCTCGGCTCCGGCTTTGACTTCGGCTACCGCTCCAGCACCCGTTCCCGCTTCGACGGCTCCACGGGTCCGCTCCAGCTGTTTGTTCGGCGCTCATCAAGTGCAACTGTAACGGTAACGGTAAATTGACTAAATTGAAACTCGAGCCGCAATGAGAGAGAAACGAGAACAATAGCTACAAAGTGTGTGACGAAGCTTTCCTGCGTGAAGCTCTCTTTTTGAGCTTTGTGTTCTTGCCGCCCTTCCCCACCCACCCCCCCACAACCCAGGCCCACCCCCCTTATCAATCAATTTTATCTCGGGACCCAACGGGGATCGCGTTTCTCGAGTCTGCTGGGCACCTGTTACAGTTTAGATAGGAATCAGCCCTGTTATCGCCAAGCACTATCTGCCGGTTGTCTAATTTGCATATACACATATGTATATGCTGAGATTCATATCGGACATGTGTAAACTCCCAGGGAATGTAAACATGCTTCTATATATGTTTGTACGTTTGTATGTTCGTAGGTCTTTGTTTTTATCGCGTGTCTGGTGGGGCTTTTCTTTGTCACGCTTTCGCTGATCGCACTCTCTCTCCCACAATCACTCTCACTTTTATTCTCTTAACACCCAATTGAGCTGCTGATTATGCTTACTGAGCTCTCTATCGCTCTTTTTCCCCTATCCAAGCTTAAAAACCCTGATAAGAAAATACTTTAGTCTGACATTGCAAGACAAGATTATTATTATTATTCTATTGAATTCTAAAATAAAAGCGGGGGAATTTTCCAAGTCGTTTATTTCCTCGTTAAATAATCGCGTTGATGGGAAATATTAAACAATTGTACATTTGCATGTTTTTCGGCTTTGGAAATTTATGTAAGTACTTTTTTTCTGTAACGTGATGTTTACTGTAAATCAAATCTGACCTTCCAAATGTTTTGGTTGTAAATTTAATAGCTTACACAGTTTAACCCACTGCTATTTTGTTGATAATTAATATTTCTAGTTAATGTTTAACAACATTTGCAACAAAATTAATTATATTGGTTAAAGATTGTTTAAAATATTCTTTTTTAGGCCTCCCAGAAAAAGTTTTTCAAGACAGTTTCAGGATTTGCCAGACAAAGGGTTAACAAAAATTTACTTACACGTACTCCTCCCACATCGGTAATAAAGTTTCAAAATTTACGTCAAGTAATTAAATGAAATTGAACGCAAGTCGAAAGCGGTTTAAACTTTTTGCCCACTTAAAATGCTGTTCGACAATTTCGCAACGAGGCCAGGGACAGGGACAGGGACAGATTCAGATTCAGTTCCGGTTTTAGTCCAGTTTCAGTTTCAGGTCCAGATCCATGACGATGCCACAGAAAGAAGCCGCAGACAGAAGCCGCATTCTGTGGGGATGTGAGATACGAGTATCAGCTCGGGTCCGACCAACACTCGACCCCCTTTTATCTCTGTCCGCCTTTCGGACGCCCATGTAAATTAGCTGCGCTGTCAAATAATTCTGATTTGTTGTTGCTACACTGGCATGCTAATAAAAGCCCAGTCCCCCTTGTCAATATGTCAGGCCGACCAACGTTCGTCACTTGACAGTGCCACTATCTCGCTCTAACGGGGCGTGGGGCAGCGTTTTGTTTAAAAATCAAATCAAATATTACGAGAAAATTTCAATGCGGTCGAATGCATAGGAAATTTTATGCTCGCCGCAGCCGCAAAAACGCAAATGTTGACTCCGCCGGACAGCAGTTGGAACCCGTTGAGATGAAGCCGGTCAGATACGGATACTCGCACAGTCGCACATCGTTCAGATACGGATACTGGTAACGGGAAAATGCATCTGACGACTCGTGCCACAAATAGCTTTAAGTGGGACTTAAATGGGATTTGTGAAATTACAACGGGACTACTATTTCTTGAAGGGTTTATTATTTTTATTTGCGCTTTTATATGTTGATAATTAGGATCTGTGGTGAATCATTTAAAATATTAAGAGGGTGAGCTAATATTTTAGATAGACGAATATAAAAAACTTACAAGCTTTTTGCATGCATGCAAGGTAATATTTTAGATAGACGAATTTAAAAAACTTACAAGCTTTTTGCATGCATGAATAATTTATTTATTTTTTTATTTATAGCAGTTTCAAAACAAGGGTGTATAATATTTCGTTTAAAAAAACATAAATTCTTTTCTTGTTCGAAATCTCTTCTTTGAATGACTATCTCTGTATTCTTTAATATATTTTTTTATTACCAGAATCTAATTAAAATGTATATGCAAAAAGCAAGTTGATAATAGCTGATGTCGCATTCGCATTTTCATTTGTTTTGTGCCTCTCGTGAAATGAAGATCATATTAGCTTGGATTGCTTTGCTTTCTTTAATCCTTGGCCACGTGGCTGCCTATCGGCTTCTGGAGGAACGCTGTGATACCTACTTGAAACCTGTAACCAACCGTGCTATTAATTTCGCTCAACAAGCGGCTGCCTGGATGGCAGCAATATATAACGACCGAAATTATCTGTGTGACGGAACGCTAATTACCAGAAGTTTGTACTATTTAAAAAATACCTTCTTATTGATAACGTAAATATGATTTTTTAGGCTTTATATTAACTACTGCCCACTGCGTGAATGGTCAAACAAACTTGTACGTACTCTAAAGAAGAATTTTCCATAATATTTATTTGTTTTTTAATATATTTTTGTTTATTACAGATTCGTAGAGTTGGGGGCATACAACAAATCCGAACCTTTGCTGAAACAATCTATCAGTCTTGTCGTCATACACAAATTGTACAACGGACTTGATTACCAGAATGATATAAGCCTCCTCAAATTGTCGAAACCTTTGGATTTTAATGGTAAGTAAACTGTTTCTTTGGCTACCTGAACTTCATCAACACAAAACCTTACAGCCCACATTTATCCAATCTGCATTGTTTTGGATACGTCTATTGGAAGCCACATCGAAGATATTCGGACATTTAAAGCCTTTGGTTGGGGCCCAAACCATAATGGCCTGAAAAGTGAAGTACTTCAAACAGTCACACTTAATCAGAAAAATCGAAACGATTGTAGATTAAACTCGGGCGCAACCAACAGCTCAAAACAAATTTGTGCTTTTACCTCAAAACAAACTAATTGCCCTTTGAAATCAGGTGGTCCTTTGACCGTTTTGTTAGATAGAAGTAATAGTTTTCAAAGATTGCAATTTGGTATGGTAGGCCAAGGTAGAAAAGACTGTAGAAGGCCGGAAGTTTATACGGATTTAACAATACATTTCGAGTGGATCGAGGCAAAAGTTAATAGCTTTAAAAGTTATGACAACCCGGTAGTGTCCTCTCAGGATAAAAAGTGGCCATCACAAGCACTTAATATCGATCCTAAGCCGCTTCCAAAAACTCAGCAATTTCAGGAATTGTGGTTGCATAAAGATTGTGCTGGCAAAACCATATCATCGAAGTTACGGGCGACAATCCGTGGACCTAATTATGTGGCACAGGGAGTGTTTATTACAGAAAGTGAGTATTTATTTCAACAAACAAAAACAAATTATGCCAATAGGTAATTCCCACAAGCTTCAATACCAAACTTTTAATTAACTTTTCCTCATATCCGTTTTCGCTTAATTTCCTTATTTTTTGTTTTTATTAATACTCTTTTTTTAGGGTTTGTTATTACAACCGCCAGAGGCCTTCCAGAAAATCCTGATTCCCTGTAAGTCATTCTAAAGATTCCCCAATCACATTTTAAGATGTTTAATCTTTGTCAACAGGGATGTTGGTTTATCGGGAACCGCCAGGGTCTACAATGAATTTAGAGTTGATTCGATCTTTAAACATCCAGCGAACGATATCGCTTTGCTAAAACTAGATCAACCAGTGAGAGCAGGTACAGTATCTTAGTTCAATTATAATTTCATTGTTAATTACTTTTTCTATTGCAGAGAATCTGAAACCCACCTGTATGTTGGCAAATAAAAATTATCGGGAACAGGCGGAATCTTATTCACCGTTTACTATATTTGATCGGGTTCAAGCAAATGACGGCATATTAATTTATTCAAAAAACGTTACGCTCATTCATCCCCATGAATGTACAAACCGAATCCAAAAACCAATCGAACCGAATCAACTTTGTGCCGTGACTCCTTTAAATAATCAAAATTATGGAAAACCAGGCGATATATTAGGTAAAGTTATTTGGTATTCGCAACAGGAATGGCTTGTCCTGTTTGGAATCTCTACTTATTCATCCAATGGTGTACGAGTTTTCACAAATGTTGCAAGACTTACGGATTGGATCGCAAACATAGTAAACTTTAACTAACAAAAGCACCTAACCGAAACCGAAACTAATTGTTTGGATAGTTAATAGTGCGATTTTTTTCCCGCCAATTTTAAGTTGTTTACCAAAATACAAATGCAAACCTAAAAATTTTAAACATTTCACATTTGGAAAATAAAATTAAAACAAAGTAAAGATTAATTTCTTTCTGGTAAAAGTTATTTTTTAAAGTTTTTCAAAAATAATAAATTCTTATTACTTTGACATTGTTTTCTTTTTTTTTTATAATTTTTACATTATGTTCACAACAAACTAAAATAAATTTTAAATATATATGATGGTTTTAAAGTTTTATTTTTTATTTATAAGCTACAAACTAGCAAAAGGTCCTTTAACATGATTACCATAATGTTACCACCACTAATTCCTTAACACTAATGACTCTATTAAGCTTTCAGGATACACGTGTTTTAATATCAATATCGGATTCACGGATTTGAGGCAGCATTTCCATTTAATTGCTGGTTTAAACTCGGTGTTTTATGTGCCATGCCCTCTTGCCAGCGTGTCAACAAGAGATCAGAGATTGTGGGACGTGTCAAGTGTCCGAAATTCAATTAGACTTCATTAGCATTACCAGCTGGTGGCAGTTAGCCTCCCCCTCCCCCCTTCCCCTTAAAATACACACACACAAACCCACGCCTTGTGGTTTTCTGTGTGTGTGTGTGTGTGTGCGTGAACAGATTCAAGCGTTTGCAGATTAGCATAAATGAGATCATTAAAATGCGCTTACGTTTGTGTGGGTTGTTTTTGGGGAAGGTTGGGAAGGGTGGGGGGAATGGGTCAAGGGGTCAATGGAGGTGCGGGGTCACGACTTGTTCCTTTCGCACGTTCCTCACAGACTGACGCCGCCTGCAAATTGCCTTGGTCCTTGGTTCTGGCTCCTCCTGTTCGTCCTTTATTTTCCAGCCTGTTCGAAGGTGTCACTGCTGCTGCTGCTGGTTCGTGTCTCGGCTAGATGGGCCAAATTGAAATTTGCATAATTATTGCAGCATCTTTTGGACGTCATGTCCTCCTCAGCTGTCCCCCAAAATAGTTTTCCCCATCCCCCTTCGCACTCCGCCTAATTTGGTCATTAAGTTTAGTGTGATGAGGTAGTTAGGATAAAAAACAGAAGGATACTCGGTCGAAAGGAGAACTTCTCTTTAAAGTTGGCTTGCACTGTGCTACAAGCTTACATTTTTGCGACTGTTTATTTTTTAATTTAAGAATTACATCTCATTAAAACATGCATGATTTGTCGTTTAAAAAAAGCAAACTTAACTTGTCAAATTATTTAATAATTTTCAATTTTATTCTTTAAAAGTGAAGAGCTCAAAAAAAAAGTTTACTCTTCTTTGAAAAATTTAACGTCGTTTTTTTAAGTAATTGTGCTAATTAGCTTATGTTCCACATTCACTTTTACACTCTCGTCCTTCTGTTAATTAGGACGTCCTTTACTGTGTTCACCAGTGCTTCGTTGAGTTCATTTTGAATTCAGTCAAGTTAATTGGACTGTCATATACCTGTTGCTCTGCGAACTTTACCCGACTCTCACTCTGACTCTGACCTTTCCAACGGAAGTTCGTGCACATGCATTTAAAATGCCACACGAGCTCATTGGGTTTTTTGGGGGGACGACGACGAGGAGTCCCGTCAAACAAGCTAATTTTTGATGATATCCACAGTCGGTGGAGAATCGGGTAATGGGAGGTGGAAAGGAAGGAAAGGAAAGGGGAGGGGAAATGGGTGGTGGGTGGGTAGTTGTGCACTGGGGACTGGCTGCACTAAAAGCCTGTCGCTGGCTGCAAATTGAATCAGTCGTTCAGTGCCTCCGTTCCTCCACCATCCATCCTTTATCGTCCATCCTCCATCCTTCATCCTTCATGTGTCCATGTGTCCATGTGCGATGGTGTCCGCCTGGGGCGCGTTTTAGTGTCCGGCGGTCGACGGGCGGCGCTCTCATGAAATGTGACCGCAATTGCGGTTCGTTAGCTGCATTTCAGCTAGTCCGCATCCATGTCGGGGCGATGTGATGTGCAGCGGCGCCACCGGGAGCTCAACCGGGAGTCCTACCTGCACGTGCCGCCGCCAAAAAAGCAACCCCAAAAAGGCGGTTTGCGGGTGACTGAGGGAGAGGAGAAAAGGAGGGACAGGGAGGGGGAGAGGGAGAGGGGCGGTGAGGTTTGGGCCAATAGCCAGCATGGCCAAAGCGCTGTGCTTAAGTGGTCCAAGCGACCAAAAGCACTTTGACCATGCGGTGGCAAGAACCCCGGCGGGCAGTCTTCACTCTGCACACCAAATTCAGCTGGCTCTACGCAGGGATAACAGATATCCTTTACTGCAAAACTGCTTTCCTAAAATTAGTCAAAAAATTTAATTCATAAATAGCTCTCAAAACGTTACAGACAAAGAATTTAAATGCTGAAAATATGTAAATATTTCAAGCTTTAAAAAATTAATAACCTTTTGCAAGTTCTTTCATTCTTGTTAATTAATAATTTATTTATTGGTTGTTGTTATGAGTAAAGCTGTATTGTGTTATTCTTTCATAAAGTTTTTAGAAAATTGGTTGATTAAAAAGAGGAAGAAGGCATTGACTTGAATTTCTTAATATTGAACTATTTTTTTAAACAAAAGTTTTTTATTTCCAAATAATGGGCATTATTATTATTATAATTTTATTTCCCAAATTGTTATATGTAAGATTGAGATACACAACTTGAGTATTATTATTGTTACTTTTTTACATCCACATGTATAACATTAAACGCCGTTCCTCCTTCTTCTTTATCTTTGATAAAGTTTTTCTAATTTTTACATTTGTCCCTGTGCAATAAATGTTTTAAAGCTCTGTGAAAATCGTTCCCCAAATCAAGAGCCCAACTAGCCGGCATTATTTATGTTGAAAATATCAAACGTTTGAGGATTGTCCGGGCACTTAACGGCAATTAGCCCCAGGGCCCACACACACATATACACACCTGTGGATTCAGTTGGTTTTCTGTGCTATTCCCGTCCTTTGGGGGAAAAGGGAAGTCCCCACCTGCGTCCACAATCACAGCTCAATGCTCCGGCCAACTCGACGGGATTTGCGCATCATCAAATGACCAACTTGAGGTAATTACCAACAAAGGGCAGGAGACACGCACGCAGATATCCAGCCTTCCAGTGGCCAAGCATCCTCTGCTGCTCCTCCTTATCCTTTCAGGTCCTGGGAAGCACAATCTGTCCGGGCACGCAGAGCAAAAAAAACTTCTGGCCTCCGTTTGGTGTCTCCTTTCAGCGTTGGTCGACGTGACAAGCATGCGGAATAAGCCAAGGAGACCAAGACGGAGACCGAGTTCGGAACCCGTAGCTCGACCGTAGGAAAGCTGAACAATTTAAACGGATCTCGTCCCGGATTTCAAGGATATGTCGCATTAACAATGCCCTGACCTACTGATGAGTGGCAAATGAGTTCTTGGGGGAGTGGAAAATTGGGGGACATGGGAGCACACGCCTCCCATTCCCTTTTTTTTGTGGACCGGTGAGTGCGAGTCCTTTGGGGTGTGGGACGGCGACTTTTGTTGCCAAACTAAATATTGTTAGGCAAAGTAAACGATGTTGTAGACTTTGTGCCAATCGAGGTTGCCAGGGGCGTAGACAAGAAGGTAAGAAGGTGTGGAAAGGGAACTTTTGAAACACTTAAGAGCCTTATAGACAGTTGAAACTTGAGAGTATTAAATCCTAATGGGTTTTAAATTTGTTAAGAATATATTAACATCATTATAAAACAGAAACAGCTTTCTTTTAAACTTATCTATTTATAAAACTATAAGTTTAAGTACTGCGGATAACATTGTTTTTGAATCTTCAACTTATTTAATATAAGATTTATGTTACCATATGGATTAACAATAACGACAATAATAAAGTAATTCCGATTTGTATTGGTGGGTAGCTTATTAATTTAAAATATCTTTTGAATTAATAGATTGTTTTTCTACGAAGTATATAAATAGTTAATAAGCCCTATAATTAAGTTGTACATTGTAACAAAGTTTTTTTTGTTGTGTTAGTTTAAAGTTTGAAAAGCTAATAATATCTCACCAACCCCTGCTCGTATTTTATATTTAATATTTCTAATTGAATCCCTATTAACTCAAAGGAGCAACTGATAAAAAGGAGCTGCTTCCTGATAATTCCCTGTTCTCCATTTTCCCAGCTGCTGGAATTCGCCTTCAAATTGTTCCCCCTCTTTGTTTAAGGTCTCTGCTTTCGACGTGCTTTTTCCAAGGACCTGGTCGAGTGCCTTACGTCTATTACCGTTAACCGAAACCCAATGCCAATGCGGCCATTCAAGTCGACATCCTATCAGAGCGGCGGCTCCTTCGGGGGAACCCCCTTTTCCCCCTCCTCTACCATCTGCTTCTATTGGAGATTTCCTTCCTCATTTTCCTGCCATTTTTGTGTGTGGGCGCGTTTACTTTCCTTCGCTGGCGTTTTTTTTTATTCCTTTTTCCCACCATTATGAAACTGAAGCCAGGCTATATTAAGGATGATGCAGTCAGGAGCGGACGCACCTTGGATTCCCTGCAGCACACACACATCCACGTCGAGGGATATCCTGGCACACGGTTCCTAGCTCATTGTTGACGCAGCTTGCTCATTAATTTTTTACGCTTAATGTGCGCTCATAATGATTTTTAAATTGAGTCTCCGATTTCGCAGATTTGCTCATGGCTTTCCACCTCCGGACTTTTGGACAACAGTCAACTGTAATGACGTCAGAAGGGGCTCATTAGTGGCCAATGTCAAATGGAAAAGTTCATTCATTAATACGGGCATTCAGTTCTTGAATCATTGATACATCGCCGACTCCATTCATTTATGTACATATTTATTCATATTTGCAAAAAGCAACAAATAGAGAAGACAGCCGTGAGGATAAGCAATGAGTTTACTGAATGCTGTGATTAAAATGCAATAAGCCGCCACCCAACCACCCATCCATCCATCTACCCTTCCTGCATTTCCAACCAAAAACTCCTTTGCAGCTCATCGCATCACGCATACGCAACGTTGTGCAGTCGGTAGGTCGCAAAAGTGCCGAACGTTTTGTCCGGCTGACAAATTTAATTACTGGCCGGGTGGCGGGTGGGTCTTCTCTGTCCTCTTCCCTCGGCTCTGTCCTGTTTGTCTCGTCACTGATATGGCCCAGACACATGGCCACAGGACACTGGACACAGGACCTTGCCGAGCTGCCCCGTTGTCCTTTCGAACGGACGAAGTCACTTCATTTGATGCGTCAATCAGCACAATCAAAAACTGCAGCCATGAAAATCAATTAAAAACCCGTTGACACACTGGCCCGGCCAAAGGATATCACACAGGGAAAAGCATCCACGAAATTGCACATCACTTTTCAATTATATAACTCTTTTGCCAAAGGTTTCGAATTTAAATTCTTTTCTTTTTTTTACTTTTACCATATGTACAATTTTTCCTGTCTTATGAAAGATGTTAAGACTTTAATCAGTCATTAACAACTATAAGATTTTTAATTCAAAGAATTAATAAAAAAAAAATTAAACTAAATTTAAAAGCAGATTTCCTTTACTTTCAAATTTAAACACAAACTGAAAGATAAACAATGTGTTAATTCTTTATGTAAAGCAAGAATATGTTTTAAATATTTGTTTTTATGAAATAATATTAAGACAACAAGCGGTATTGTTATTTATTTTTAAACAGCTATAAGTTTTGTGACAATTGTTTTCAAACTTTAGCATTTTTGTTGCAGTGTAGTTCGTTGTGCTGTAGTCCTGTGTCCTGTGCCTGGGTCTCGTATCCTGGGCCTGTTTTCAGGACCTGGTCTTGGGCTGTGTGTATCCGTTGGCTGTCAACAACGTTGAACGTTTTGCAATTGACGCCACCCGGATTAACATTTATATTTCAGCTGGCTAAAAGGGATCGAATGGATGGGCGGCGGCGTTGGTTTGAGGATGGAACCTGCGATATTTGTGCTTGTTTCATGCTCGTTACAATTCATTTGATATGCAAATGCTCTTTTGTAGCGGATATAAGTAACACATTCACACACTCGGGCAAAACAAATCAAAGGAAGGCGACATGACTCTCAGGATTTTTTCCGCTTCCCAACTCCCACATCCGCTTTTTCCGCCGATCGGTATCGGTATCGGTAACGGTAAAGGTAACACCGGTGACGTCAGCAGGTTGTTGCATAGTTAATTGGTGCGGCGCTGAGCTTGCAAAAATCGGTAAAGAGAAAGGCCAACTGGCGAAAGGCTCGCCCACTTAATAAATGAAATGTCATTGAGGCATGCGGCAATCAGCGTCGCACAAAACTCAAATGAAAACACAATTCAACACGCAGCAAATGATAAAGGGGATGGAGTGGGTGGATCGGTTCCCTACAAAATGATTGAAGCACTGACTGACTGACTGACTGACTGAATGACTGGTTGACTCACTGGCTAACTGACAGCGTCCAGCCGAGCCTCGCTTTATCATCCTCTTCAGAGTCTCACATGGCAAACAGCGGGGAAGGTGGCAAAGTGGGTGAAAAGCGGCGAATCGGAGGAGTGGCAAGTCACACCCACTCGTCCACTTGTCATAGACACCACATGAGCAGATGGCCTGTTAGCTGATCTGGAGAGGAGAAGATTTCCAGGGGTAGGGTTTACGAAAATGAAAAATGTATAGTTATTTCTAGTATTTATTATACAACAAATATTAATCAGGAAATTAGATATTAAACAAAATAATGAGAAGTTTAGTAAAAATCATATAAGAATAAAATTAGATAACTTTGTTCTACTGGAAAAGAAAAAGACTTTTTTTTAAATTAAAAATTAAAATATAACTTATATAACAACAAACTTATTTATTTGCCAGTAAAATTAAAATGAAGTTTAAATAAATAGGTTTGAGTGAAGCTCTTGTAATTAATACATTATTAAGTTTAGCGCGAATTTTCCAAATTGTGTTTTTGGGTATAAAAGGCGTAAAGTATGAGGATATGTATGGATATATTTTGTACCCCTCTGAAGTCCCATCATGCCTCCCTTTACCCCTTTACTTTCCACCAACATGATTTAAAAGAGCCCCTAAAAAAAGGCGAGCGATGCGTGTGTGACTGCACAAGTTGACTCCCTGCAACTCTGATGCAACTGCTACTGCCACTGGTGATTCCTACTGTTGCTATATCTGGCACAGCTATATAGCTGCTGCTGCGTCAGCTGCAACTGATGACATTGTCAGACATCAAGGCGGCTCTCCAGCTATGAAGGGACTAACGGGCCTGACAGTTACTCAGCGTCAGGCATTTGGATCCCCTTGCTGATGCACAGAAAAAAAACAATGTATCACATTTAAATATTTTTTTATACAATTGAAAGAGGCTGTTTTAAAATTGTAAAATCTTAATATGCATAATCACATATATTTCTTTAATTAATTTGATTAGTGAAAACTTTTATTATTTTAGATCTTTGCACTTGTAATATTACTTTATTTTCTTTTCTTCACAAAAATTAAATTAAAACCCCCTTTTTTCTCTCAGTGTGTTCTGGGAGTAGGGGACGTTAGTGGATGCCTAGGGCAAATTAAAACTTGGGCCACACACTTGACACGTGCTTAGTTGGCGCTGCACTCGCAGCTGCAGTTCTTCTGCATATTCACCCCTTTTTTCCACGCCCATGTTACCCCTTTTTTTGGCTTTGCATGTTTGCGGCTTCTGCGGGCAGAGTTTTCCTGGCCAGCTACTTTCTTTTTCTGGTTTTGTGACGTTTGGCTTCCTTTTTGTCCGGCTTTAGCTAGTTTAATTTATGAGATCGCATCACAAGCTTCAACTGGCGTGCAAGTGCATAAACTTGTTGCATTCGGTGAGGCGCATAAAAGTAACATTGCTGCGGGGCTGAAATTTTTTTAATTTATGTGGCAGACATAAATCTATTCATGCAGTTAAGTGGATGATATTAACGAAAGTCAATTTAAATGAACTGAATTGAACAGGTCAAATTACAACAAGCAACTAAATGAACAAGTGAATTATTAGTGTCAATAACTTTTTAAAGATTTGTTCTTCAGGACGTTTATCTGGCTAAAGGACGAATATTCTTAAATAAATAAAGATAAGAACACGTTTGAAATTTATTGGTACTGAAACAATAAAATTAGGTTATTAGTATCTAGGTAATAGTTCGATTTAAAACATTTCACGTTATCAGAATTCATTGGTAATGTTCATGCTTGAACTAACAAATTTTATGGGAAAATCTGAAAACAAGATGAATAAAGAAATAATTTGTAGAAATACATATGTATATGTAACAGAATATAGTTTTCTTACCTAAAATTTGGCAAGGTTCCATTCAATATTTTTATCTTATCTTGTTTGTTTTTATTTTTGTTATCTCACAAACTTGCTCTTTTGCAGGTGGAATATGAATTTGAAACTTGCAACTGTTGCACAAATTGCTGCTGCAAATAAATATTGTTATTATTTTCAATCGTTTCTTTTTACATACTGAAATATGTTTGCTGGCTAAAAATTTAATCAAATAACAATTTATGTCCTGGCAAATTTTTGCCAGCATTGCAAAATTTGCGAATATTTTTTGGGCGTACTTCTCTGGTGGTCCACACACATGACATTGCATAATTTGAGGCATAATTTTTTTTAAAGCCAACTACTGGGAGTTTAAAACCTAGTTTAAAAAGGTTGGCGGGTGGGTGGATGTGCTTTTGGATGTGTTGCAGTATAAACAATCCACTCAACCCACTTTGCCGGCGTTGTCTGCTCTTTTTTCAGCCTAACATGTTAGGCATAAATGTTGTTTTTTTTAGCCACCGACCGAAATAGAAGAGTGGGGGAGTTGTCAACAAAAATATCACTTGTTTGCATGAAAAATCTCTGCCCGCCGGTTTTTAAGAGGGGTGTCAGCGATACAACGAGACAAAGCCGGCTAAAATAAAAAGCCGTAAAACCAGCCAACGCCAGCGGAATTGAGCAATTTTTATGAATAGCAATAGTCACAGGAAATAGAGGCTCACTGCATCCTTGTTATATGGAAAAAGAGTCCTAGTTCATCTGTCTTGCTTGAAGTGGGTGTTACACTCACAAAAAATGGGGGGTTTGGGGATGGGGGGTTGGGTGCTTGACAGTTTGACGCCCCCGTAATTCATGCCATGATGAACGTTCGTTGTGAAAACCTTTTTTTTTTTGCTCGCCACTCGCATGACATCTCACTTGACTTATGGAACAGCTGTTAGAGATTAGCATTTAACATGGGTTGTGCCGACCATTTAAATCCTTCATCGGGCATTAAATGAGTTTAAATTGGGAACATTACACAAAAAAAGTACACATTTGTCGCTAATTCGATTTGTCTGTCGCAACGGCAATGATCGGAAAAAGTTTCCGCCAACGGTTTCCGGGGGCTGGGGGTCATAATTTATTACCTCCAGTTGGGCCAACTTAATTATATACGTTTAATACAATTTACGGGAAGCAAAAAATCGAAGTAAAGAGCAGAGGGAATTTTGTGAGAGACGGCAAATTAAATATAAAAACTGAAAAAAACACCAAAAAAGTAAATGCAGCCGCAGCAGATGGCGCTTTGCAAAATTTACCCGCCATTCATGAAAGTTAATAATTGAGTTGGTTGAGCTATGTAATTCTCCTTTTCTTAATGGTTTTTCTCCGTTTTTTTTTGGGCGCTTGGGATCACCATTATCTAGTTTTCGGTTTGATCATAGTTTATGATAATTTGGCTTTATAGGTTGATAAATCCCTCCGGATAATTTGGGCCTTGTGTAAATTATTTTTTTTCGATATTATCGACTAATTTAATAAAAATCTTCATCAATTTGAGTAAGATCGATTATATCCACCGGATCCCTTGAATCACTCACAAATATAAGATCGTCATCAACATTTTCAACTTCGTTGGTTTCATTATACGCAGGTTCCATTCTTTCAATTCTTTCTTCTGGATCAATAAATTGCAGAAATGAAACATCTTGATTGTTATTATCTTGAATTCCATTTGCATCATTTCCTTGAATGTTATTTTTTTGAATTTCATTGGCCGCATTTTTTTGATTACTATTTTGTATTTTGTTCTCCTCGACTGCATTTGTGAAAGTTTGATTTTCTCTTTGATTACTTATCCTTTTCGGTGGGGTCCCATTTAATACGGTACGGTTGCGCAATGTCTTAAAAACGGGTTCCATTTTGTTACAAAAATTATATTTAAATTATTTAAGCTAGTGACTTTGTGAGATATCAAATAATCATGATTATAAAAACCTACTACGTGGAAAGTGTACGAGCTCGGGTTAAGCCTTTTGTAATTCATTGACTGAGTATCGCTTAGCCCAGTTTTCCCTTTCCCCCTATCGCTTTTCCATTACCATTTCCAATTTGGTGTGCAGTTTGCAACTGGCCGTTCAACACTAATTTAATTAATTGAATTCATTTTGGCGCCGCTGTCGTCTGTGTGTGTAACGAAAAATTAACGGTTGAGTCACGTGTGTGTGTGCGAAAAACTCTCTCGCTCTCGTTCTCTCTGAATGTGTAAGTGTATTGAGCGTGGGAGAGTGCATTTTCGGTTTCGGTTTTTGAGGTTTTAACGGTTTAAGGTATTTTACCGGAATTTCATACCCGATACTCGTAAATTTCAAGGGTATATTATTAAAGCGTCAATTCATATGAAGGATAGACGGAAAACAAATCATGTCCTTTATATTAATTGTAGAATTCTAAAATTTATAAGAGAAGAAAAAGATGTCCAGAAACCTTTTTTTTATAAATCGTTAAAATAATTGCTACTAACAATTAGCGTAAATAAACTGGGTGTTAAACACTCTTTTTATAGCAATGGTTAACTGCAAGTCGCTACATCAAAATAAAAGGATAATTTCGTTTTTTCCCAGGGCTGTCGCACAATCATTACTCGCTTGAGATTTTTGAGGAGACCAACTTTGACTGGTCTCCCAAGTTGCGATGTCTAATCGACTCTAATTCGATTTCCGCTGGCCCAATCAATTACGTTACCGAATTAATGTTTCAATTGAGTCGCAATTACGCCCGTCTGCGGACCTAGCCCTGAAAATAATTGCAATCAATGGCCGGCAGCCAGACGACGCTGGGAAAATGCCTTTGTGGCACTTCAAATTAGCGCATCGCTTGCAACCGATTCCACCAATTCCACCGATTCCACCGATTTTACGGCATCCCGCTCGGCCCGTTCGGTAAATTCAAATTCAAATTCAGACTCAGATTCTCTGTTTCTGTTTCGGTAACTGTTTCAGAAATATGCCCAAATGGTTGGAACCAAATCTGCAGTTAGCCCGGCGCCATTTACAAACTGCTCGCCATCAGGCCGCAATTATGCAAGTGAGGGCGTGTCATTGTGCGCGTAATTGTGCGCTCTTTCAACTAGAAAATGTTTCGGGCTAGCATAAACAAAAGGCCTCCTGTCCGTACTTTTTGGGGGTTCGAGTTTTAATTATCATATAACCGCACTCCGCCAACGGTCGCTGCAACATACTCACATACATATCTATACATATATATATATGTGTGTGTGTGTGCAATGTCAACTTGATTATAAATTCAATGGTGAAACGGTCTTTGTTTTAGTCATTGAATAGATGACGGGATGCAGCCTTAACTGAAACGGTTTCCCTCTAAAATGCGGAAATGCTGTCAATTAGCGCGAGATGTGCGGAGAATCGACTTCCTTTCCGGCGATAACATGTGTCTGCTCACGGGGAATCGGCTGGCAGTCAATGAAATCGATCCTGCAGGCTCTCAATCGAAGATTGACGGCTGTCATTGTTACCTGGCTCTCAAAACGATAACCGATACAATTGATTTGGAGCTGTATGGGTTTTTAGTTAGTATTTAATGCTCGGTACAAGGCTTAAATTTGTCGCACCGTTTGGGTATTTTAATAAATGTGATATAAATTTTTAAAAAGCCACCATTCAAAAATAAAAGTTATAGTTTTGTACGATGACGAATAAAGAACTTAAATAAACTGAGTTTTGTTGCCTATTAATAAATTGGTTATTTAAAATTTGATGGATTGTGTTGCTTGACAAAAGCTCGTATATCTTCTAATATACTTGTTTATTTTGGTCCATTTAAAAAAAATTAATTTGTAAATACAAAATGTTTTAAAAGATTTATATAATTTAATGCAATGTTAATATAGTTTTAGCTTTATCTATTCAACCCTTGAATAGTCCTTTCCTAATACGGTTATTATTTATATTCCAATCCATTGCAACTTTTGTGATGCTTTGTCCCAGCGAAATTTTGGACCACACAAGCTCAACTCAATTTGTGCCAACTGTGTTAATGCTTAATGCCATTGCTACACTTTGGGGCACCTCTTTAGCTCCTTCGCGATACAATTGATTTGGAGCTGTATGGGTTTTTAGGTAGTATTTAATGCTCGTTACAAGGTTTAAATTTGTCGCACCGTTCGGGTATTTTAATAAATGTGATATAAATTTGTAAAAAGCCACCATTCAAGAATAAAAGTTATAGTTTGTACGATGATGAATAAAGAACTTAAATAAACTGTGATTTTTTGCCTGTTAATAAATTGGTTATTTAAAATTTGATGGATTGTGTCGATTGACAAAAGCTCGTATATATGCTAACATAAGTGTTTAATTTGGGTCAATTTTTTAATAAATAATGCATTAACGAATTAATAATAATTAATTAATATAGTTATTTAAAAGTTTCGAATATTCAACCTTTGATTAAGGGCCTTTCTTAATGCGGATATTATTTATATTCCAATCCATTGCAACTCTTGAGATGCTTTGTCTCAGCGAAATTTTGGCCCACACAAGCTCAACTCAATTTGTGCCAACTGTGTTAATGCTTAATGCCATTGCCACACTTTGGGGCACCTCTTTGGCTCCTTCGGCTTTTTGATTCTACTAATGAGCTTTGGGTACCTTTTGGCCTTTGTCATGGCCCTTTGACATGTGTTCTTCGTCCCCAGTGAGTCCTTTGTAAGCATGAATTTGCATTTGGCCTGAGACTGAGGCTCAGCTGGAATGCGCAATGAGAATGCCGCTGGCCAAAGGGGATGGGAGTATAAATGTGGGTAAGCTAAACCTTAACCAACTGCTTGGCATGTGAACATTGTAGCCCTACTGCTACCGCTGCGGCTGCAATTTATGAAGTTCAGCTGTAATGCGCTTTTAACCTGCAGCAGGAGCATCCTACATCCAGAATCCAGCATCCAGCGAACAGCGAACAGCGAGCTGCGATTGTGGCATTGTGGCATGCCAACTACAACTGCAACGGCTCGAATACCGCTTATTATTATGCGGATCACGTGGCCGAAAACTAAACACACGACCACCACGAGCCACCAGACGGTGTACACTGCGATAAAAACTAGTGCACCTATATGTTGGTATTCGTTGGGGTCAACAAAACGATTAAAGGTTTCCGGTCAGACTTCTGAAAAAGGATTCTTCGGCAATCACATTATAACTAAATAAAAACAAAAGCTTACTTCCAGTTTTAATTGCTTAAATAAAGTGTAAATATATATCTCAGTTTAAGTAACCCTAAAAAATATTACTTTTTGTTGTTTTGGTAGTAGTGTAATTTTCCTTTTAGTTTCGTTTTTCGGGGAACGTTAAAAGAGCTCTAGGAATTTGAAAAATAACATATTTTTTTCAAAAAGAAAACCTAAAATATTTTAGAACAATTATCAATTCCTGCCCAACACCTTTGCCTTTTCAAAATGAATATTAAAAGGCCAATTTATTTTTTCCCTTTTTCAGTGCAGTTGGCAGCATAAATTGCTCACTCACACACCCGAACATCCGGCACACACAAATAAGTCTGGGCAAACATAAAATGTAACATGCGAGCGCCGCATGTGCCATGCACAATAAATACGCGATACCTCGGGAGGCGGCGTCTGCAGAAGGGGGCGTGGCACGAGGTGGTTACTGTCAAATGGCATGGTCAAGTAGTTTGGCTAAAAACTGCACAATTCACGAAGCAAAGGGGAAAGGGGGGAGCTGAGGGGAAGTGACTACGAGATCATGTTTCTTGGCACGCACACAGATGCACATTAATATCAAACATGGCTTATGGCAATGAAAAGTGTGGCTTAAAGGAAAGCCAAGGGGATGAGACGAGGTCCTTTTTAGGGTGAGAGGTCAAACTTTGACAGGACTCAAAGCCACTGACAACCATACCGTCTCATTGGCACAATTAAAACTGAACAACAAAAATGGCTAACCCCCAGTGAGGCGTGAAAGTGTTTTTCCCCCCACCCCATTTTTCCCACTTTCCACTGCTTTTCCTGTTTCTCGAAAGTATGCACAAATATTTTGACAAAGCAAATATTTATCAACTTTTGTGCTCTTCTGGCCTTCGGCTCTATGCATCCAAAGCAAAGTGATATGCTACTATATAAGGTTGTTTGCCACTGCTGGGCAAGAAATTCAAAGTCAAAGTTGTTTGCTCAGATACATGGGGACTTTATATGGCCAAGCTGAACTGAACGTTGAATGGAAAGGCCTCTGGACAGCCTTTTGGCCCTGAGTGGTGTGAAGGTGGAGAGGCACCTCTTTTCTGCACTATAAATGTAGAAAATGTGGAAAACTATAGTTCAGTAGCAGCAATGTGTGTTTAGCTGGTGTAGAGCTACTAGCTTTTCAGAGCTTAAAAATAAATATATCATTGGCATTTTGCTTTCAACTTTGTGAAAGTCCCAGGGCAATTTAGAAGTGAAATTGGAAGATTTGTCTGGCAAATTTTTTTAGGCCAACAATCTATAAATGTGAAACATAAATGTGGGTTAAATAATTGAAAAGCTTATGTATTTAATCAGAAAAACCAAAATAACAACAGGGCGTCAATTTCCATTAGTTTCATTCTAATCACCGCAATTTAAAAGCTTTTAAATTAATAGTTTTCTTTTCTATGCAGTGAAATTTTTATAGAAAAAAAACAAAACGATATTTAAATTGGAAATGTTGGCTGCTTTTGTGACTTGGTCATATTTCTAATTCATTCCAATTAAAGTGTGGTTGAGCTTTAATTTAATGTAAGTTAACCCTGGTATTTCAAATATTTCAAGAATCTAACACATCCATCTTATTTTTCGAAGACATATCTGTTAGCAAACGCCTTAATTTGTAACACACTTCATACTTCCTGTGGAAGCTAACAATTCATCCTCTAATGTTGTTCTTGCTCTTGTTGTTGCACTTTCAGGAGCTTAAAAG